GGATCGGCCGCTGCCCCCCCTCGGCCGCGCTCTAGAGGAGCGAGGTACGCCCGCCCCCGGGCCGCCTGTCGGCTCTGCCCCCGGGTGCCTGTGGCCGGGGTACTTGGGGCGGGGAAGTCTGATGTCTTCAAGGAACCTCCCACGTGCCGAAAGCACTTCTGCACGTCCGCTGCACTCTGCAGCTTGTTTGTTTCTTCTGCTTCTTCACACGTGTTTGTTTGGGTTTTTGCCTTCGCCCCCTTCCCCCCCCCAAAAAAAAAAAAAGACTTAGCACGACTCCCTCTCCCTTTCAGGCAGGGGGAAAAAAAACCCCAAACACTTTTGTCTACGTGGTAAATGAGTGCTAGTTAAAATTAGATAAAGTGTTAGCTATCACAGCAGTGTGCGATAGCTAGCATAGCGAGTGCTTGATGTAGTGGTTGGAAAAAAAGAATGACCCCACCGTATTCTTGGCCCTGTGGTTTTTTTTTGCTTGGATTTGTTCTCATTCATCTGCAGGGCAGATGGCTCAATTCTGCTTTTCAGAAAATGATGGAACCCTTAGTCTAAAAAAAAAAACCAAAAACTTGAATAATTATTACTTCAGTAGAAATAGATGGTCATTGATGCACCATGTGATGAATTTGAAACCTCAGCTCCTTTGGTTGCTTTTAATTAACTCAAAATATTTAACTTGCTTCTCATGTTGAGGGCATGTTATCAAATAGTTTCATAAGAACTTGTTTGGAGGTAAACCAGAAAGTAACAGCTTTTTTTCGTTTTTATAAAAGAAAATTATTTACCAAGCCATCAGTTACAAAATCTGTTAAAAATTATTTCACATATACTAGATAGTTTACTGAACAGCTGTTGAATGATGTAAAATTCTGAAATTCTCCACGCATAATCAATTCATCTATGAATTTATCAGTTCATCTGTGATGAATTCAGTGAGTCAATTAACCTATGCATTTATGTCATAAAGATCGCAAAATGCTGCTGACTTATGTTTGGGAAAGGGACAATCACGTTCAGCTTTTTAAAATGTAATATAGACTCTTCATTCAGTAAATGCCCCTGGTAACACAGAAGAATCTAGGTTGGAAGGTGCATCTGATCAGATACCAGCATTGCTGTATGCATTTCAACTTTTGTCTGTGTATACCGACTTTTACCCCTGGTGTAGTGCTGGTGTATTAGGAATGTGAAGGTGGGAGGTAGGAATTTGAAAAGATTCATTTAAACATCAAAGAAATACCTATTCACAGAAAGCAAGTAATTTTTAGGAGTTGTGGTACTTTTGTGTCAGTGGTTTCGGATGTTATAGTTATTCATATTTATTATTTTCTTTCCTGAAGACTTGAAAGCCCTTGATAGCATGTGAGAATTTCTAGTTGCATGAGAGCTGGGAGCTATGATGATGGGAGGGGAACGGCAAGTGTAGAGAACCAGCCTTGTTCTCTTTATTCCACTTATTTTTGTTTGAGCTGCGTATAGTGGCCTTCAGGAAATCAAAGTCTGCATTCTCCTGAGTATGTTGATAAGAGTTGTTTGCAGGCGGGTTGGGTTGGTTCTTTTGCAGCCCTTCATCTTCTGGTCTAAGCTGTGGGGATGAGGAAGAAATTGTAATTCTGCATGCGGAGTTCTACTGCAGGACTTTCCAAGGGCAGAGATGATTGCTACTTCTTCTTTGGCTCCATATTCCCACTGACAATGTTCAGTGGCATGAAACTTGCTTCTGACAAGGAACTTTTTGAACACTTTTAAGATCTCTGTGTTGGGTAAGAGAGAAGCTCATTGACATGGAGATTTCTTGTGGACCTTCTCAAGCTAAATTCTGTTCTGAGGAAGTATTGTATGAGAGAGAAGTGTGGAGACTGTAGTACTCATCTTGAAAGTTTGAGGTGGTGGTTAAATTCTGGGAAGTTTCCACTAAAAGAAGAGCAGAATATATGGTTATCTGAGACTTTCTCAGTCGTCACTGGCTAGCCTAATGTAGTGGTTTTTTAGTGTACTTTGATCTGAAACCAGTAGAAAGTGATGCGTCGTTAAATGTACACTAAGGATTTTCATTGTCCTCCCACAACAAAATACAGAATTTACTTCCTTCTGATAATACTTGTAAAAAGTTGGGGTTTTTTTATCACTGCAAGCTGTACAAGCCAGTTCGTAGTATCAGGCTTGTGAAACTAAGTTTCACATATCTTCCTTCTATCAATGCTTTGTGATAATTGCAAAGTAAATAGTGTTGAACTTGACTAAATGCTTGCCGAGAGTTGTGGAGAATTCTTTTTGTTGATGCTTACTGAACTACAGGCTACCTTTATTTTAAAACTAGGACCAGTCATGCAGCTGTCAACCTTACTAAGGGCAAAATTCCCAGTTTTAATGAAAGTTCCATCTGAGATAAACACATTTTTGGTGGCTGCAGTGATTAGAAAACAGAAAAGCAGCACCAGGAAAGCTTGCATTTTTGTCATCTTGAGTACAATGTTTTATCTTTTTTTCTGGCATTTTCCTTTACTTTTTATTTTGCGCTGCTTTGTCGAGATGCGTTCTTCTCTTTCTGAGTCCATCCTAGCTTACTGCTTATCCGTTTCCCTTTTAACCCTACTCTTTCATTCACACCCCACATCATATCTCTTGTCCTGCATTGCTTAATTCCCTTGTACCTGTAGGTACGTTGCATATATGTATATGGTGCTTAATCTTGTGGTTCTTCTGGGTTCTTGGGGGGGCTGTTGTTGTAAAGCTAATCTCTGAAGATGTAGTTTATTTCCAGGCCTTCCTTTAGGATGCTGAAGGGGCAGGTGGGAGCAAGTGACACTTTCCCTCGGGCTAGTTCTATCTCCCTGTAATGTTCTGAGGATTGGAGTGCAACGTAACTGTTTGAATCCCATGTTGTGTATAATGGATAAATGCAAATTTTTTTTTTTTTTCTGTGAATGGAAGATAGTGAAAAAGCACATTCCATTTTCATCACAAAAGGTTGTGGCCATTAGAATCACAATTATAATGAAGAGTTAGGAGTTTATGTAAATAATTCTTTCCTGTGTGTTTTGAAACCCCTTAACTGTTTTGTGTTGAAGTTTATCAGATTTAAATCATGGTGTAAGAAAGTCTCTCTCTGTTTCCAGAAGGGAGTAATTTTGGCATGTACAAAGAAGTATTTATATGTAAAAGTGTATTTAATATCTTTGCTTAAAGTGTGCATAAATTGTATGATGAAATTTCAGCTCAAATGAAAATCCTGTGCCTTTTGATACTTATCATTTCAGGTACTTCTGAGAATTCATCAGCGCTCTACGTTGTAAATGTTGAAAGAAATGGAAAAATTATTTATACCTGGAAGGTAAGTCTGTCTCGGAACTTAATAAAAATATAGCAGAGGATAACTTTGTATGTGTATCTATGCCTACTTGAGTCCTTGTAGTTTAAAACTTTTCGCAGTGAGGGTTAGAACATGAAAACTCAACTGATTACAATTTGGGGGGTTGGGCAATGGGAAAATACCTGTCTCCACTTCAAACAAAGGTTAAGAATGATGAAATGGAGAGTAAAGTACTGACCTGATTAAGTCCATAGGGTTTTTGCTGTTGATTTTTTTGGGGGCCAGAATCTCACCCTGAATGAAATGCCATTTCTTTAACAGATCAACTCTTTGTAAGCAGCACATTCTTTCACCCTCAGAATTTCTCAGGGAAGTCTGACTATTAAATTTAGTTAAATTTAATAGTTAATTTAGTTAATTATGTTAAATTAACTGCTTTAGTTAAATATGTTTCCTCCTACCAATATATATGTTAAGATGCCGTTTATCTAACACTAACTCTGCTTCTGCCTTTCTTCTTTGTTGCTTTAAGATTCATCTATAGCACTTTATTGCAAGTAGTCTGAAGTAACTCCTATTTATTTGATGTCTTGAATTATCTAGAGCTATCCTTTTTAACATAGGATTCTGTTCTTCATGGCTTATGTATAACTTTTAGGTTGAAACACCTGTAGTTCCAAGAGATTTTTAAATGGTTTGAGAAGGTTTCCCCTTGATGAGAGAAGCTGTGGTTCTTTTCTGTGCATCTCAGAGAAATCTGTAGACCCAGGTGGATTTTGGAGGATCTTGGTTCTTAAAGAGTACAGATTGGAGATAGCAGACTCCAGTAGAATAGGGCTACCTTTTGTTCCCCTCCCGCTAAACAACGCTAAAACTCTCCAGCTTCCTTAGGGTTAAGGGAAGAGGTGAGGCCTTCATCAAGGTATAATACACTTTAACTGTGGGTGGATGTTTCCTTTAGTACAAGCATAGGGAGGGGAGTCTGTACAAGACAACAGTAACCATAAAAACAACACTAAAGAATGTGTCAAGTTTTTTTTTTGCATTGCTCAATACTCTAGAAAGACATAATGAAAGTAACCTGTGTAGCTCCCAACAGGAGATCTGGTACTGCATATATGTGATGTTGCTGCTTTCTAGCATCTATGGAATCTCACACTAAGCTTTTTTAGGCTTCTAACAGCAGACTCCAACTGCCTTGTATGCTGTTCAGGCTCTTGCAGCTGGCACAAGGGGTGAGCTGTAGCTTGAGGTTCACACATCTAAACGTAGGTGTCTGCCTGCGTGCTAGGTGTCTAAGCTCCCATTGTGGTCAGCAGGGATCTGGTCAAAACAGTTAGTGGAGTTTGGAGAACTGGCACTTGTAGCCTGTATTTTGGGAGGAGGTGTGTGGGGTGGCGGAGGTGGACAAATACTCACTAGACTCCGTTGACTGAATAGGCCAATGACTCTCAGGAGGATTTAAACATCTAAGCTTAGTTCCCCAAACCTAGAGGTAAAGGCTGCATAGGAAGTCACTGAAAATGTTTGCTGTAGTTTCTCTTTCCTAATTTTGGGAATAAAGTGACCGCTGCAGTCTGTGTGGTAGGAATGGCTGGATGACGAAGCCTGAGAACTGGAACTAGCAAACTGCACAGCTGTGCTGCAGTTCTTACCTCTCAAATGCCATCCCAAAGGAGATGCTGCTGCTTTTTATTTTCTTGGTCTCTTACCATGATAAAGTAGTCTGATCTTTTTCTCCTGAGTGAGTCAGCCTGCTGAAGAACCAGCATCTATTTATTCCTCTGTTGGGAAGGATGCTGACATATTTTGTTTGCTTCTACTATAAGTTTTTTTTTACACTTGCTAGTGGGCAAACTGGAAGATACTTCCTGGAGTTTTCTCACAAAGAACAAATGTATCTTAAGGTGGTATTGCATTAAATATATGATGCTTCTCCCAGAGAGAAGTTGTTCATAGTGTGTGGTACGCATTTCTTTCTTGGATCAATAAAAATTCTGCTCATCAGCTGAAAGTGTTGATATCCACTTAGATGCTATTGATGTCAATGGGAGTCAATACCTCTACACTTCTTTGCGTGCATGATAAGAACATGTGGGTATGTCTGCCCCAAAGCTCGTGTTAGTCTAGCTGGCTTGTATATTGGTAGAAGCAAATATGATGGCCCACACTGTGGCTGCATAGCTGCATACCCAGTATCCTGAACAGGCTGGGTCCTGAGCTGCTAAAGCTGTGCCTTTCCTGATGTCTGTGCTTTTATTACATTTTATTACATTAGTTATTTCTGTGTCAGCTGCAGTCACACCTTGGGACTGTGATACCTTAAAGCAGGACTGAATTTTTTTCTTCCTCTCTCTCAAGAGTAGAATGCTAAAAAACAGCAAGTGTTGGGAGAATTGTGTGTCTGTGTCTGTCTTTTTAGACTTTACTACTGACTTAACAAGGATTCAATCTAAATGTTTCCTTTTCTGAAACAGTCCGTTGACAACGTATGGGTACAATTCTGTGGTTTTGGAGTTTAGTGCAAACCCTTTAAGAGTAGTATCCATTCATATTTACATAGAAAGAAAAGAGTCTCGGTGTATGCATCTTAGTGAATATCAAGGAGTTTTAGGCCCTGATTTGACACTTCTAAATTTTTACAAACTTGTTCTAAAATATAAGTATTCTTTGCGCTTTGCTATTCTGTTCTGCTAATATACATTATCACACTGGAAAGCTTACCTGGGGAAAACAGACTGCTTTTAGTGTCTGCAGCTAGTCCTTCTGTTTCCTTAAACTTACATTGGAGAAATCACCATGTAATTACAGCTTCTAACAAACTACAGATCTTACTGAGTTGTTAAGGCAGTTCAATATCTCTTTCTCTCTCTCTCTCTCTCTCTCCCCCCCCCCTTCACGATAAACTATTTATAACTAATGAGCTACCACTTTTGCAAAACACAGCTATATGTCTGTGAGCCTTTCCTGTTGGTTTTATAGCAGCAAACGGTAGCTGTGACATTGTCAGTGAGGATAGCGCACAAACAAGGATGTAAACTAAACTGAGCTGCCCTGGCTTGTTTCCTAATAGATACAAATAGAAAACAACCTTTGTCTGCTAAGTGGAAGAAAGTCAACTGCATTCTGCGTGAAATCAGGGGAAGGTGGAGAATGAGCTTTATTTTCAAGCTTATTTTAGACCATTGCATTGTACTGTAGTTTTGACAGTGTCTGTCTTTTGTGACATTGATAGTTGATATAGAGAAAGATATTTTTAACAGAAATGAATTCTAGTGTCAGCGCTTCTATTTTGCAAGGCAATACAAGAATCTTTAGAGTAAACATGAAAACAAGTGTCTTAGCTTATACGCAGATATGGGCACTGATGTAGTCCTGTTACTAGTCTTGTAAAGTATATTTTTCAGTAGCTAAGTACAGAGGATGTTAGCATTTCAGACACACTTGGAAAGAACAGTTATTTTTGAAAGCACTTGCTTAACCTTAAATTAGGAGGCCTGAAGTCTGTATCTTAATATAAAGACATTTTGTTTTCCTAGTTTAAATCAGAAGTCAAAGACTTTTGTCATTGCCACAACAATAATGAGACACTCAGACCCATTAGGAAGAGAATACTCAGGCTTTTGTTTTAACTTCACAAAGCAAGATGCCATAACTTTGTAAATAACCACAGATTTCTCCCCTCTCCCCCCAAGCTGTAGTTAAAAACAACGATGCTCACTGTTTGAATACAAGCCTGTGTGGCTGGATTTCATTTCAACAGTTTAGCAATTTAGTGCCTATACCTAGAGTACATTAATAGACTTCTGCTTGATTTGATATGCAATACATGCTGCCAAGCAGAGTTTATTTTTAATTTTTGTTTTTAAATATTTTGAAAATTTAAAGCATGGTGAAAATTACCAAGAAGAAAAGTTTTGATTGGTATAGTCTTAGAAGTGCCCCAAACAAAATTATTGTATGTTATTATCAATAAGCTAGAATGTATTATGTTTCTTTTCAAAGGCAGCAGGCTAATGGTGTCATCTGAGCTTGTGAAATATATTTAGCCTTCAAACAATCATTTCCTAAAGCAGAGCTGAAATCCTTTTTCCAGTCTGCAGCCAGATCCGTGCAAGCTGTGTTTGGTGATTTTTGATGTTTCTGTGCTCCCTTTTGGAGCAATGACCTACCGAGTTGGTGGCGTTTGGAATACCAGCCTTAAATCTTCCAGGGGCCATAACATCCCCTTTCATTCTTGTACAGACATCTCTCTTCCTGGCCCTACTGCCTATAACTAAAACCAGTTTAGAACTAAAGTGAGAGAGAGGCACTTGGCTTATGCAACGTGGGCTGTGGATTGGCCACATTTCAGCTTTATCCCATGTGTTAGTTCTAAAAGGAAAAAAAAAAAATCTTCGTTCTCTTTCTTGCCTCGCTTTCTTGGAATTAGATCATTAACTGCCTGTTTATAGGACAGGGAAGTGTGCGAGGATGTGTGTCAAGGGGAGGAGGAGAGGGAAGTAGGAAAAAAATAAAAACAATGTTTAACTTTGTATATATTTACCTTGCCAGTGCTAATTTGTTTTCATCCATAGGGAAATCAAAGAAATACTCATATTGGATTGTACGATCTTCAGACTAAACAAAATGAGGTGAGAACAATACTAGGCTTCTCCTTGGTGAAGACAGTGCTGTAGTGTTTCATATTTTGATGCCTGATGCAACATAGTATGTTATGTACTTATGGAGTATATACTTGTTTGGAACAGAAAAGAGACCAGAGAAGGTACTCGATGCTCAGTAGTATTGAGATGCAGAACATTACAGAACATCTGAATGACTTGGGAGTAGTAAAGCGTCATGTAAAGTAACAAGCGATAGGACGAGAGGAAATGGCCTCAAGTTGCGCCAAGGGAAGTTTAGACTGGACATTAGGAAAAACTTCTTTACTGAAAGAGTGGTCAGGCCTTGGAACAGGCTGCCCAGGGAAGTGGTGGAGTCACCATCCCTGGAAGTATTTAAAAGACGTGTAGATGAGGCGCTTAGGGACATGGTTTAGTGGGCATGGTGGTGTTGGGTTAACGGTTGGACTTGATGATCTTAGAGGTCTTTTCCAACCTTAATGATTCTATGATTCTATGATTCTATGTCTGCAATCTTTATTTCTAAACAACCAATTCAAGCCTTTTCCACTCCTTTTCACACTGAACATATGTGCTAAGAAGTAAATGTTTTGGGTTTTCTTTGTTATGTGTGCATCATCAGTCTGTTTGGTACTACTATTTGTAAGAAATTATTCTAAAACTGAATGTACTGCAATTCAGTGGCTGGAATCATGATAACGGGCCTTTGCAGGTGTCCCCATAACAGTATGAAATGGGTGAAATTTCATATTTACATAAAGGTCTGCTATGCTGCTCTAGTGGCAACATAGAGCTCAAAAGGACCAGTAAGAAACAAACAAATGAGAAAAAGGAGAACTGATTAATTGAGGCTTGAAATATGGTTCTGGCCGTAAAATAATTTGCTATAAAAATGGTGTACTGGTCAGCAGTGTTTTCCTAAGGAGGAGTAATTAGATTGTTTTCTTTATATAGTTAAAAAAATAATTTATTAGCATTAATGTGTTTCTTTATAGCACCTCTATATGTTTGAGAGGGATCTACGCATAATCAGTTGTTCGGTCAACAATGAAAGGACGTTATTGGGTAAATATGTGTTTTATCATTAAATTTTTTTGTGTCATGGTAAAGATGATTTAGTTTAGTAGCATGATACATTTGGGTCTAGAATTATTTAAATCTATTTTGACCCATATGTTTCCCACAGCAGTCTATGCATTTCAGTGGATCCATCACCAAATAATGTAGGTAACAACATAAAGACACAGCTGTAACGATATTGCTGTTTTATTAAAACAAAAATCTAAGACACACTGACCCTTTGTTCACATCCCCCTCCTGCATTTATACATGCCTCCTACACCTAGAAGAGCTTCTGTTGTTCCTTTAACATACATGTTTTGGTAAAAAAAAATTGTGATGCTCTCCGAGAGTGTTTAGTAAGGTTAATATCAAATTGCTCACTGTGGTTGTATTGGGGTTGTTTGTTTTTTTTTCCCTTAGCGGTCAGCTTCCGTCAATATACAGAGGAAGAAAGAATAAGTCGTCTATTACAGTCAGGTACTACAAGTGGATTGTTTTAATACTCTTATAAATATTGTACCCTTTTGCTTTTTTTCCCCACATAATTTCTGTTTAGAAAACAAAGTTGTGTATACAGGATAATGCTATCTAAAACATGTTCTTTTTGCAGTATCCAAGTATTTAACCTTGCTAGTTGAAATTCATCCCATTAATAATGTGAGAGTCCTAAAGGCTGTGGATAGCTGTGTTCGAGTACAGGTAAATTATTCAACTAATCTAAATATAAAGCTTTTTAATCCACTATGCTAGAGAGAAAAAGTGGTTGAGTGCAGAAATATCTCATGTTATCTTGCAGCTGTTACAGAGATAGTGTGCCCGTGTTTCTTCATAGAAGGAAAAAAATGAGAAACTTTGATGTAGAATATTTCTCTGACATGAAGGCTACTTTTTTTATTTCTCTTCAGTCCCCCGAAGCTTGCAATTATAGTGATTGGTGACTATTAGTCTGAAATAATAGCTATTTTTATTAATTAAATATCATTAGTGTGCCTGTTTTAATTTGAAAATATGTAAACACCCAGCTTAAAAAAAAAAAAAAAAAAAAAAAAAAAAAAAAAAAAACCAAAAAATTTTAGATCAGTGTTCTAAACTACTTCGGTTATTTACTTACTTTTTTGAAACTTTCTGTATAGTTTCTTTATCCAGTTGAAGGCAGAAATACTTCTACAGAAAGTCGCCTCTTGCTAGTTTCGGAAGATAAATGTGAGTTAATATTTTGAAAGTACATTGCTATTCTTTTACTTTAAGATGATCATTATAGATTATATTTTTGGTAGGCTTTTATTGGGGGGGAAAAAAACAGGAAAAAAAAAAAAGGGTGTGAGCTATTCTAGGTATTTCGAGTGTCTTTCAAAAACGGTATAATTTAATGGGGTTTTTTTCAATGTTAGCAGAATGGCCAGCTTTGACTGCAATTATTTGCTTAATTCATGCATTCATCAGTTATCTTTATTTCTAAAAAAGCTAAAATAGACTTTTATAGCTGCCTAGATAAATTCAGAGCAGATCGACTGACTATGAGAGATTGACTATGTGATTTAACGTGTGACAAGTGGCATAAGAATAGGACAATAGTTCCTTGGATTCAGCTAACTTTGCATGTTCAGCCTAATCTAATGGGAGGGAATGGATAGAGGTGGACACTTGGAAAAGGCTGTTTATCCCTCTTGCCTTTCAGTCTTATTATAGAGAGAGATCGCTTTTCCCATCTTTTTGGAGAGGCCCGTCTTCTCTGCTAAGCTAGGCACCAACCTTTAGGTAGCTGCATTTAGGTGGGCAGAGTTCACCTCCTAGTACATTCACATAGTGCTATGAACTATATCAGAAACATTTATAACATCTGCTGGGTGAATCTGGCACCCTTCGCATAGGCAAACCACCAATAACTTTCAGGAATTTTGCGTGGTGAGGTGGTATTCATGCTAGGAAGTGAAACAGGGCTAGGGTGTAGTCTCAGGCACAGGCATGCAGCTTTGCATGCTCTTTCTTCGTAAGTGTGCTCCTTGGCTTGGTTTGGCATGTTTCAGTTAGCACTCTTCCTGATGGTGCTGCGCTGATGTGGGCAGAAAACTGTTTCCACCAGGTGGTATGGCTGAGGCCACCCTTGGCTCAGGAAGGGAAGAGAGGTCATGTGTCTGCATAAGCAACTGTGTTCATATATCACAGATTTCCTCTTACACTGAGTTGAACTTTCCTGGCCCTAATGTGTTCTTATAGCATTCTAAAAGGTGAGATTGTTTAATAAGCTGTATAAAAGCATAGAAAAATGTATGTCTGTAATGATTTTTTTTTTAATATATTTTAAAGATATTGAACAATTTGACATTCATGTTGTTGCAGAAGAAGAACACAAAGTGGTAAGACTTGAAAAATCTTGGCTTTTGATTTTTTTTGCTTTAATTGAAAATTTAAATGTTTGTAATTTTAGCTAACTGTCTTTGTAGTTTTATACTTGGGCAACAGAAAGTATATTAAAGAAAATATTGATAGTATGGCAGCTTATGCAGCTAACCACAAAGCTGATTGAAAAACCTGTATACTTGTGTAATCTATGAGGAAAGTTACTTATTTTATTGTTTTTTGTTTGTTGCTGAATGCGTCTGTATGTTAGAAGTTGGGAGTAAATATAGTGTATATTCATTTTTAAACCATTTAAAATATTTGCAGAGTCACCTTCTTATCTTTGCCTTTTGGGAGTCTCTGTGTCCCAGTAAAGATTTCATTTAAAAAACAAGTAAACAAACAAAAGGCATAAAACTTAGATATACTCCAAGTACTGTGAATGTTCCAGTCTCTTTTTCCCCTCATCTCCTTTTCCTGTTTTTAACATTAATTTGTCTTCAACAAATGTGGATGTTTTGCTTAAAAGACTTATTATTAATAAACATACATCTAATATAGTAAAGAATTGTGTCATGAAAGCCAATGTTTCACTTTGTGGAGACAAATACAGGTTTGGAAGGAAAAAGTTAAGGTCCTGATTTTCAGTCACTTTGAAGTCTTTCATGGTTTTCTGAAAGTTTATCATTGCTTTTAAAGCAGGTGGGTTTTATATGCTAGACTACAGTAGTGGAGTAAAGACTAAGAGTGTAATCAGAAAAAACAGATAAATCTGATTTCCTTCTAACAAACAGATTTGTTTTGGTTGACATGAAATCTCCCTACATCTTTCAAGAGTGCATTTATACAATCCCAACAGTTTTCCACAATTTTAGCCCTTTACCTACTGCCAGTACTCTCCATCATGTGGCTGAGACTTTGTACAGAAATCCCTTCTGGAGCGAACACATCTTCCTTCAATAGTTAACGTAACTGATTCTGAACTGACTGTGGTATTTCACTCCTCTCCCCTTCTCTGTGATGAAGAGTGCCATCTGTTTTTCTGTCTTCACTTTGAGCAGCTTAAGTGGTGAATTTCTTGCAAGCAGGGAAATCTCAAAGAAAATATATTTGGTAGTAGGTGTACCCTGAAAACTGTCCTTCTGATCTCTTTAAACTGAGAACCTTGCACACACAACAAAGATGGACTTTGCGCAGCTAACAAGTAGCATATTCCCTCCAAGCACCTTAGTATTTGCGCCTCTTCTGTCATTGCTTTTCTCTTTAAAGCACAGACTGTGTGTAATTGTTATAGAACCTTATTTGATGACTTCTAATGTTCTTTCTTTGCCTTTAGGTAATTCAAAACTCAGGTCAGCTTCCAAGAGCCAGAGTTGCAGATGATCTCATTTGGGCACAATGGGATATGCTGGAACAAAGGCTCTTCTACGTTGTTCCAAAGGTGAGATGAAAGTCGTTCTAGTAGTTTTGTTTCTGCCTGTCTCATGACAGTCAAGTCTTGAGTGTGGGGGTAATAATAGTGTGAGTTTGTTTTTCATTATAGTAGTCTGTCTTGTTCCTGCCTCAAATAACCTAAAGCAAAAGCCAGACTTGCCTTAACTGCTCTTTGTGCATAGTACATTGCAAGAAGACTGGTGGTCTTAGTGCTTTCTATAAAAAAGGGTGGGTTTGTTAGGTTTTTTGGCTTTAAAAAGGTCTTTTATTCAAAAGAATCTAAATCTGCCAAAAACTGTATTGAGTATAATGCCCCTGTTCTAGAGAATTCACATCTAGAAAGTATGTTGTACACAGACTTACTGAGTGACCAAATGAGGGCAGGTTCTTAGCTAGAAATGCTGGAACTCTTTGGGTTTGGGGGTTTTTTTTGTTTGTTTTGTGTGAGGGACTATTTGCACTTGATGTATTCTACGTAAATGAAAATTGGTTTTTCTTAACTCTTCTTAGCCACCAAAAAAAATATGAGTGTTAGGAAATAACAGGAAGTGAACTGTGATGGAGAAATGTATTCCTGTTTTTGTTTCTGAGATACCCTTTATGAACTGACCAGTATAAGATACAGTTCCTTTTGCTATATAGGTAGTTATGGAAAACAATTTTTTTAACTTTCTCGAATGTGGTGTGTGTGTGTGTGAGACATATAATGCTATGCTTCAAGTGAAGGCCCACGCAATTATAGATGATTGGCAGATAATGATCTGGGACAGGAAGGAAGCATGTCATAGTGCTATTGTGGGGGGTTATATGTGGTTTTTAAAGTCGTCTTTTGTCCCCTAACTTCTGCATATCTGTTAGCAAAGTGGGTTGAGTGTGGAGAACGGTGTGGAATATCCAGTCACTTTTCAGTCTATGTGATATGCTTTTTATTTTATCAGTTACAAAACACATCCTCTTAATTCCAGGAATCAAAGAGTACTTTAAAATGTGTCCAGTTTTATCCTGATGAAAATTTTATCTCAATAGTAAGTCATGAGTATTTTTTATACAATGGTTTTGAATGGGATGTAATTATGTCTTCCAGGTACTGTTACAGAGATCTGTTTCACTGTCTTTTATTATTGCAACTTTTGCAGAGGAAAACTGGGTTTTGTTTTTCCATTTGGGTTTTTTTGCATTATACTCTTTTCAAGAATATATTCAGTCAGATTCAGATTGTGCCACGGTAAGGTAACTTCAGTGGAATTGCACAGATACTGACCTAGAAGTAGGTGACATTCATTATATTGATCTTATACTCAAGTGTAAGGGTTATCAAATGCACTAGAGAAAGAAACCATGTACTAATTTTGTGTCAGTTTTAAGCGAGACAGGAAAAGCTGTTGCGGCCAAAATACAGAGAACAGAACATCAAAATTATAACTGTTGAACTTGTAATTGTTACTAGACTTTTGTCCCAGTGGCTGAAATTTGCTCTAATGCAGGAGGTTAAATACCTCACAATTTATTTTCTTTTTTTTTTTAAATAATCTATTTTATGGTTTTGGGGGTGACTGAAGGATTAGAGGAGGATAAATAAACTTTGTTAAAATGTTTAATCTGATGAAATGTGAGTTTGACATATTTTACTGGTCTGAAATATTAATCATAGTGTACTGACCTCACTAAATAACTGGTTTATTTTTGGTTAACAGCTGGAATCACACCTGGATATTTCTGTAAATGACACACAATTGAAGTAAGCTTTTTTAATGTTCTGTTTTGCTTTCCTTTTAATATATGGGGTAATGTTTTACAAACCTAAGTAAAATTTGTCCAGACCACAGTATCTTTGTTTGCAGTTGCCTACATGGTACTGGAACATGAGAATAATTCGAACACTGTGTCCAAACCTCCAGTTCCTCTCATTTTCATCAGGGTCAACTGTAAAATGTAATTTAATCCTTGACTGCTTTTTGGTGCCATTTTTAAAAATTATTTGTCTGAAGAGCTAGTTATAGGTTAAATCATCTTTCCTCTGAGTATTCTGTACCTATTTAAATTAATTTGTTTTAATCTTGGGTATGTTGTAGTGGTGATGTCAAAATTCCTGTCAAGGGAATCCCTCCATTTTTAATTGCTGTTACATGTTTTACTGGGCAGTTAACCAGACCAGTAGCTCCTTTTTAGAGCCTATGAGATACTGCCTGTACTCTTTTCTCCTCCAGCATCCTATTTCCAACCAGCCTGCACTTTCAAAGGCTAAGATTCATCTGATTCTATCTGTGTCTACCGTGCGCATGACTGCATGTGAGCTTATCTCCTTAAGGCTCCCCCTTTAATTGAGGAAAAACTAGTCAGGATGGTCTGACTCTCAGTCATAATTCGTCTCATCCTCATCTATCTTCAATCAGTTGAATTTACATTCCAAAAGGGCCTGTTTCTCTTTGTGAATAAAAAGGGAGGCTAAAGTTACTAGAGCAGATATCAATAACTGAAGGTGGTTGAGTTTCACCCTGCCCAAACCGTGGCTCTCAGAATGTCTCAGTGCTATGCAGAAGGCTCAGTATGGTGCTATGCACATGCAGGTTTCCCTAAAAGGGCAGTGTATCCTCCTGCAGTTAGTACTGAAAAAATGCAACTCTTGTAAGAGCTTCAATGCTAAATTTTTTTTTTCCAAAATTATTGCAGAAGACCTAGGGGAAAATCCCTACAGGATCAGAAATCCCAAATTTTGGGGGAAAAACCCCAACCAACCAACCAAAAAAAAAAACCAACAACAAAAAAGCCAGAGCACACTGACTACGATCTTCTGTTGCATGTTCTGCATGGCAAAAATAGGACTTGTAGATTTTAAAGATACGTAAAGCCATTAAAGCGCAGGCAGCATGAGACTGAAAAAGAATGTCATGGTATAACAAGTTCCATGTGAGTGTGATTTTGTGCTTTCCTTTTCGAGTACTTCCGCTGAAATTAGTGTGCTTAATTGCAGATTAAAATGTAGCTTTACAGATATAAGAGTGGTAGAGTTAGGCTGCAAAGCCTTTGAGTTTTCTGGTATGATGAATGTTTAGATTTCCAGTACTTCATCAGAACTTGCGTCCACTTCAAAGTATAGGAATGGTTGGTCAATGCTGCAGTAAGTGAATATGAAGTTTGCAGGTATAATCAAAATTGTTGGTTTCTGATAATAGTGTGCAGTCTTGGGATTGTCATTTCTAACAGCATTGAGCGGATTGGTTAAAGCCTAATTTAACTTGCATTGGAGAACATTTGATTATAATTTAATTAGTATGTTTTGCTTATATAGTGACTGTTCTTGTGATCTTTGTGTTGTGATGAATCTCTGTGGATGCAGAAGTGATTTATTTAGTGATCTTTATTTACTCATAGACTTGTGAATTTTGGATATGATTACTGTCAAGACCAAGATGTTGCATCTAAATCTTTGAATCTTCAGGTTTTTACGAGTAAAGCAGGTAATGAATAAATACAAGTATTGTCAAAATGATCTCTACTAGTAATTATCATGCAGTGTAATCATAATTGATTACTAAATTTCTTCGTAAGACATTATATATATTTGTATTTTTTGTGTGGTTTTTTTTGTGTGAGTGTGAGATTTTTATTCCTTTAGAGTATACTTGACAGATAACTGTGAGGAGAGGGAGAAGGCAACCGTGCACTATTTTTCTTAAGTTTTTTTACCCTCTGAAAGCTGCATTCCAAGTTGAGCAGACGAGTACCTAGGGTTTTATATCAACACAACAATAAAACAGTCACCCAGGAACTTCAAAGAACTGGTATCATGCATGCATATGGTGAAATATCTCAGTCTAAGTACACTGTAGCATTTTCTGCTAGTTTCAGAACACAGGTGGTACCAAAGCACAGTTGTATATTACATTAGAGCAATTTAATGTTAAAGCTGACCAAAAACATATTAGAAAGTAAATTCAAGGAAGGTTTCGGCTAGGTCTGTTGTCTGGGTATCTGACGTGGTAGGTAGTTGTGTTACAGAGTGGACACGCGTAAACAGAGCATGTGCAATACAGTTTCTAAGAGTTTCATGTTGCTGTTAGTATCTGATACTTAGAAGGTCCAAGTATGCGATACTAAACTTAGTATGTGATATTTAAGGGTTTAGTATATATATGATTCCTTAAACTTAAACCTAAAATGTTCCTTAAACCTTTAGGATTTAGGAGTCTCTCTGCATATGAATGCATGCCATGAGCTTTTTTTTTTTTTGTTAAAAACTGGTCTCAAGAGGCATCTGTGATGAACAGATTTTCAGCTTCTAAATTAGACCATACTGCCAAGCAGAGATGGTGTCTGATTAACCTTTGAATAGTCTACAGAGTTGTACAGGGGTATGACGTGTTGCAGAAGTGGCTTTACATCTCACTTCTTAAGGCGTGCTGTATGCACACGGGCGAATTGCTGAGGTATTTGCCAGTTGTGTTGAAATGACCATCAATGTGAATGAAGTGAAATACAGTTTCCTTACATGGATTTTTTTCTTACCAACGCAGACAGCATGCTTACAAAGATTAAAGGGAAGGAATTAGAAATAAGAGAAAACCAAGTTTCTATCTACCAAACGTAGATTAGGCTACTTTTTCTCTGTTAGCATATTATTTCTTGTACAAACAGCCTGTCAATAATGGAAAATGTTATTGATTTGTATATGTATGTTTCCTTTCAAATCTGTACTTCTCTAGGGTTTGTTCAGATTGAAGCACGTCCTTTTAGTTTGGGATGAAATTCAGTCTTCCTCCAACAAGACTGTTATTTGGTTACCCTGAAGTAAAATGTTCTTTTCCATCTGGCAACACAGTATCTAAATTCTGTGTGGAACCTTTCACACGCACTTGTCGTTGTGCCTAATGTGAAACACATAATTTGACAATTACACTTACTAAATGAGTATTGCATGTGGCTTTTCATAGAATGTTGCTTGAAACCGAGGGTTGCTTTGCACAACCCACTTTGAGTAACTAGCAGTTTGGAGCAAATGGTTTTGGCAATGAGACCATATCTAGTTGTTGGAGAACACTGTGGGTAATCACACTAAAGTTCCCTTTTGTACCTCTTATTTGTGGTGATTTACAAAACTGGACTGCGAGCCCTTTGGGGTGCAGACTATGCCTTCTGTGGAACTGCTAGCATGCTTCAAATATTAATGCCGATATCCCTATTTGTACCGTTTAGACATCTCTGGCAAAGAATAATTGGCATGACTTCAAAATGGAATATTCCATGCAATTTACCATTTAATAAAACTGTTATTGGCTACTGCCAATTTGAACTATGAATGAAATCACTCTTCCTTTCTCAAACTTCCACAGTAGAAGAAAAGTAGCCCTGTTCCTTATCCTCAGCAGAGACAAAATGTCTCCAGATAAAAACCCCTATGTACTTCTAGATTAGCTCAGATCAAGCAGTTCTAGTCTCAGAATTAACTTTGTCCAGAATTCAGTGGTTATTTAAACAACACTGGGCTGTTATGTTTTCTTTTAGAGCTTTAGAATTACTTTTCAGTTAAATTTGCTCAGTATTAAAAAAAGTGCACGCAGCAAGATGACATAAACCCTGGATTACTGTCACCTAACTTTACCTGCCTAAAAGTTAAGCATCTGGACTATATTTATAGAGAGAAAAAAGCATCTCCAGAGGATGACTGCTTCTATCCATATTTCTTCATTTGCTGTATAGGAGTCTAAATGAGAGATGTTTGGATGGCTGAAGTTAGGTGAGGCAAGTCACTTCTAAGCCAGTACAACTAGACAAAATGCCCTTGTGCAATGTTGTATTTGAATCGTGACACTGGGATGCCATGTTGAGATGTTGGTACAGCCTTACATCTTATGCTTCTGCATGAACAGAAATGAGGAATTTGAAGTTAAAGTTTCCTAGGGAAAACTTCATGTCTTCATAGGTGACTTTTACAATTCTAGTGGTAGATGTTTATTTATCAAGTGGCACAGTTGTAATTGTTGTTTCCCTAATTCTGCTGAATGTAGTAACTCGCTGTTTCCCTCTATGAGTAGAATTTAATTTTTAAATGCTTTCTTTTTTTTTTTTACTTTGTTGTGGTTGAGATCTTTTTTCCCTTTTATTTCTGAAAAGATAAGAGTCCATCCAAATATATCTTCATGTGAGTCTTCTCACCTTATGGCATTTAGCTACAGCTCTTACTGTTTGCAAATGATTTTGGAATGGATAGTGTAGAAGACCTGGTTCTGCCTTCGCATGAAACACCATATAGGTGCAATAGGATAACAAGCTTTCCCTGCATCAGCGCAACCCAGCTCTAATTTGTAGAGAGCACTGGTAAGGGTAGGAAGGGAATTTGTCTCATATTCTCAGTCTCTGGCTGCTCTAATGGGTTTGCCAAGTCGATATCAGATGTGACATTGCTTGGACACTTGCTGATCTGAGACTGTTGTGTTTCTATCTATATTAATGAAGCACCATTTGATATTTTCTGTTGTTCGTAGTTCAGTTTGTTGACTTTTGGACCAGTATCCTAGAGTTGAAAGATACATGTCCTATTAGTAGTCCCCCATAGCCACTGTTTTTGTGATCAGCTTGCATATACTACCCAGTGACACTTCAATCTGAACAGACTCACTTGCATGTTGCACAATTTACAGGACAGTGTATACACTAGCCTCCAGCACACAAGAAAGAAATTTGCAGTGTTGGAGCTGTTGATAATAAAACAGCATTGTGGGTTGCTGGAGCTTTTCCAGTCTTCTTCATGAGTCCTGATGCTGCTACTTTAAAAATTATGCATGCTCTGAAAGATGCTAAGTGCTCTGGCAAAATGCCCTGTCTGTTGTCTAAATGGCTCAAATATCTAAGCAAAACTATATCAAACAATATTCAATCAGCTAAAGAATAAGCAGAAAAAAAAATTGCATCTCAAAAGAAAGTATTTACCTTCCCCAGAATTGTGAAGTGCCTCAGCCATATCTGTATCACAGCTATGGTACAGCCTTGTGGTCTGAAGTCCAAGGCTTTTACCAAGTAAAATACCTTGGTAGCTGTGCTGTTTTTGTACTTGTGCTTTTTCCATACTGTGCCTTTTTCTGTATACCCTGTATACATAAACCTTTGTTTTTTTACAGAACAGTATCTGTATTAGTATTACCTTTTTTTTTTTTCTTTTAAGTGATAAACTTTCAATAAAGGTAAAAGGTGAACGGTCATAGTTGTGGCCCAGCTTTCCCAACTGTATTGGGATAATGTGGTTTGGAAGCTGTTTCTAACATGAATGCCGAAGCAGCTTGCTAAAGCGTCAGAATAAGTGGATTAAAGTTTTTATAAGAGGTGGAGGGAGGACTACCATCCAGTAGAGTCAAAACAGTATCAGTCTGATTTAGAATTAGGCTGGGAGGGGGGAGAAAAAAAAACTGCACAGAGTACCCTGGCTGAAATAAGCTTGTGCCAAGGACTGACTTTTCTCCTAAAAAAGGCATTAATGGCTCTTTGGGCTGGAAAGGGGAGAAGTGACTATCATTTCTAGTGTGAGAAAGCTCTAGTAGTGTATCATGCTGCTGCCAATGTGAAATTACTTAGAAAGCAAACAAACTGTGTTTTATTATGTTGTTCTGTGCATATTTGACAGTCCCTGAACAGATTGAGGCAGTCTGTGGAGAGAAAGGCTTGATCAGTTTTCTAGCTGCAAGCATGATTTCTACTGGGAAGGGCTAAAAATGTACTTCTAAAGAGAAGAACTGGCCATGTCAGAACCCAGGTTTCCATTGTGCCGTATTGCCTCCTCTGTTTTCTCTTACTGGGTGTTTCACTAGGTAAATGATGGTTAGAGATATGTAATATGTATTTCTGTAATCTTTACCTTTTTTGAGAGATTATTTTTAGTTTCTAATTTGAAACAGTCTTGCTTTCGTTTTGTGCAGTGTAAAGATGTCTAGGTATTCAGGTGGACAAGTCAATTTTCTTTTCCTTTTTTGTCTTTTTAGGAGGCTTGTGTGTGTGTTGTAGCCTAGCCTCTGATATTCCTGATGAAATAACGTACTCCATATATTTTTTACATAAAGGTAAGATTAACCTGTGAAGTTACGCTTTATTTTGGAGAATGTCACTTTGCTGAAAGAGTCACAGAATGCCTTGCAAAACAAATAACTACCAAAGTCTGCAGGCAATTAACTACTGTGGCTGGTGTTTAAAGACGGCAGCTGCCTTTAGCTGCAAAGTTGACTTTCCTGCTGTAGATTTCCTGCCTGATGCTGAACGAGTAGCTTCAAACCAGTGGCCTCGTGAGTGGTTATTAATTTGGCCCTTATTTCTAGCCAGACTTTCTGGCGTGCTGAGCACAAACATCAATGAAATCTGTGGGAGCTTGCAGGTGTGTTGTACTTATGCCATAAGGCATTTGTATGGGAAATAGAGCCAACAGCTCTTAGCTTGAATGTCTGTTTAGAGTTCCAGTTCAACATGTCATTTTCACAGCAAGAGGTGCAACACCCACTGACTGTAGGAATAGTTGCTATGTAAGTGGGGCTCTAGCTCTTAATTTTAAGACTTTTTTTTTTTGAAAAGAATAAAGAACATTGTTTTATTCTGATCAGAATAGCATATGTCATTAGCAAGATCTTTCTCGTTTGATAAAGGGAGGAGAGAGGCGAATTATTTTTCAATTGAGAAGCTGCATAGTATGGAGTAACCATGTTCAAGTGGACAACATACTTCTGTTTTACTTTAAGTGTTTGCTTTCTTGTGTCAGGAAACTTCATATGTCAGAGCTGCACTAACATGTTGCTTTGCTGCTGGAACATTGTGGGATTGAATGAACCGCATTTTTATGTTCTTGAAGGCACTAAAAAATTGGAAAAGTCCATTCCGGGTGTGGCAGCACTCTGCATTGTACTACTATGAAGGGCTGATTTCCCCAGATGTATTTGACGTATAGCTGAAGGGTGGTTGCGTTGCTTGGAGCCAACCATGGCCCTTGTACATCCCTAAGTGTACCAGGAAGAAACTGAGGATAAATATGGTGACATTGACCAGCTGCATCTGAAATGACCTTCATGGAGTGGAGTTGTTTGGTGCAGAGCTGTTTGTGGATTCATGTAAGATTCATCAGTCGTATGAGAGAATTTTAAGACTGGTCCTGACGTGATCCACAGAAGCAGTGGTATATCAGGTCCATAAGCCACATTTTGGAGACATCTGAGGAGTTCAGTCTGTGCTGCAGCATCTGTAAACTTGGAAGGAAGCTTTCTGCCCCCTGTTAAAGCAGTCACTTGATGTAGCATAAACACAAAAGTCGCGATGTTGCAGATGTATTCTGCAGTTGCATGTGTTTGCGTTGGCAAGTAACAGGGTAGTGATCATGAGTATACTGACTCATTGCAAGCAAACTTCAGTCAGTATTTTGTGTGAAAAACTATTTGTTTTAAATACCCCTTCATCTGTAGTGTTGCTGTTGGTCTTGGAGGTCTCATTTTTCTTTTTTTGCGGCACAGATAAAGCATATCTCTCTGCTGAGGTCAGGAATCAAAGTCCTGGATGAGTGGCTGAAGCATGGCTCATGAACTACTTTTTTCCTTGGTGATCCTGTAAACTGTGGATCTATTATCTTACCTTGAATTTTCATGCAGTATTAAGTAGAATCCTAATCATGACACCATTCAGCCTTTAGGATACTACAGCGTAGACATTTGGAGGCCAATCATTTTCTCCTCAGTTATTCTAATCTTCAGCTTTTCTGAGAGATTGAGGAAGTTTGAGGGCTCTATGTTGTTCTTACTGGATGCCAGAAGAAGTATGGTGCAAGTCTAGAATAAAATAACAGCTGTGCTGATGCAAAGCCCATGCAAACACAGCATGTCTGAAATTAGCCTATGTTTAAACAGAGCTGAACTAAATTGCAGCAACAGGGCATGCAGATAAACAAGCTGGAAATTCTTTAAAGCAGTTGAAAGATCACCAAAATGCGAAGCACAGCTATGTAAAGGATTTGTGTTTGGGGTTTTTTTGGGGGGAGGTATTTTTACACAAGCTTGCTCTGGGATGAATGCTTCTTTAAACATGAACATAGGCTGTGCAGTGCATGGCCAGTTTCCGCATACTAAAGAACTGCATTGTGTGGGTGAAGGTCTACTAAGTATGCAGCAACTCTGTTTAGGATGAAGTAAATCTGTCTGTGCGGACAAGCCCGTAAAACAGTCTAAAATATCCCTGTTTGGGTGTATTGGCACTGCTGAAGTTTCCAGCTATAAAGTCATACTTGGCTTGTGGCAGATGGTGTTTATTGTTTGGGTTTTTTAAAAGTATTATTATTTTTCCCCAGGTTACAACAAAACTTTTACAGTTTCTCTAGAAAGAACAGAATCTCATCAATTGAAGGAAGTGGCTTTTATGAATCTTGGTAGGTTACTTGTGTTACTTCCTTATGTGACTGCCATTCTCTGTCGCCAGTAGGGAGACAAATGGCTAACCCTTCTCTAGAAGGAAAGGATTTTTTTTCTTGACTTTAAGTAGTTGTGGTTTTTGCTGCTTTTGTTTGCTTAACTTTTATATTTGGCGTTTGGTACTGCAATACCTCGCTATTAGTAAGCAACTTCCTTTGAAATTGCCTCAGAATCTGCTCTGGAGATCAGCTGCTGAGTTCTTGAGTGTCTCAAGCCTCTTGAATCCTCCCCTGGAAACCCAAATGTATTACTAGTGTTTCCTGTGTTAATACAACAGCAGCTTTTAATCAACTCTTTTTATATTTCCTAGATAGAATCAATTCCATCAGGGAGAAGTGGGCCAAGATGAGAATCATGTGAAACAGCCTCTTAAAGCAAATAAGTGAACAATTGCTAAATTGACCACTGTTATTTCTTTAAATAGACTATTATGTGGCTGCTTATTTGCCTGGCCAGTTCCTGCACCTCCTGAATATTCAGCATCCTGACCTGCTGTGCTATAGTTTATTTCTGACAGGTATAGTAGACTGCTGCTTGAACTAATTTTATTGTTGTAGTGGAAACTTGTTCAAATCTCTTTACATGGAAGTTGTATTTCTCAACGTTTGCTTTATTGCACAGTGTTCTGAAGAAGGAGAGATTGAAAAAACAAGAATGGCATTTTTGCCACTTTCCATTTTAAAAAGAGAATCTGAAGTGACATTTCATACTTCATCTATTACGTACTTCTAGCTTGTTATGAAATGGAAGAAGACCTTTGACTGAATTTGAAATTCTTTGCCTTGGTTTCATAGTTTCCCTTCCCTCATCTTTGCACATGCTTCTCGGTCCTCCACTGTTCTCAAATTTCACATGGAGATGTAAATTTGATTTTACATTTCCTTCCTCCAATTGAGTTGCTCTAAATGTGCGCGTTTGGAGGGTGTGGGGAGAGGAAATCTGTGTTTCCTTCACCTGATCACGCTGATGCAATTTGATTTAGAGTCTCATCTGAGAGGCATGTCATTTCATTTCCAACAAACATATCTTTATGGGAAGTGGGTTATTTTTGGAAGTGGGGGGCTTTTGTTTGAAAACAGAAATCTGTTCTTCTGATTGGGTGAAGGAGAGGTAAGTTGTGGGAACTGGTGCAGGGGCAGCATCACAGAAAGCTAATACCTGTTGTATATACATAATGAAATACTGTTCTGCTAGAAGTGAGTGCAAAGCATCACGGTTGTATGGTGGGCCTGATTTCTCTGATGCAAAGGGTCTGGAATCCTTCTGTATAGTACTGTGGTGGTGAACCTTAGTACTAGCATGAATAAAGTGGTCTTGATCCGATGCTTCAGTCAGTAATCATAGAGCAGAACCTTCCTGTTCTGGCCATTGGGATTGATGGTTAGAGATCCACCAATACAAGTTTGTATCATGGTTCTGCATGTGAGCAGTTCTGAACTGTACCAGTATGCTTAGGTGCTAATTCTAGTGTTGAATCTCTGTTACTAGCCTTGTGCCCTTCTCTGTTTCATCCTATGTACTCTGATTTGCCCTATGACAGCATTGTGAGCCTGAAATCTGTACACCCTCTCTGCTTCAGCAGTAGGGAGGGAGAGAACTGAGTATGGACTATGCTCCTCATTTACTTATTTTACCCAGCCAGCACCATCCTCCTCCTCTTCAGCATAATACCAGGGCAGCTAGTACAAGAGGCAGACTATTTCTTACTGCTGGGGACCTGGGACTTTTAAGAGGAATACTCGTAGTAGCCAGATTTTATGTTCTTAGTCCTTTTTATTCTCAAACCAATGTTCTTCAGGTGAGGATGCAAGAATTGACATGTTGCAACACTGCTCCATCCGATCCCCACTCACGTCAACAGTCTTGGATTGCCATGTAGGAAGTATGTATGCTGTGAGCATCAGTGACAGCGCCTTACTACAGTTCCTACAGAACAGCAAACGAGACAGTGAGAGATTGGCAGCTCTACATTGTGCTCTGATGCACTTCCGACACACAGAAGACTTGGAAATGCAGGTGGGAAAAGACTGTCCTCTAAGTTTTTTCAGTGACAAAGCAGGGTCAGGGCATGAATGATATCAGCTGAAGAAGAAAAGTCCTGATTCACATGTACCTTTTGGCAGTGCCAAGAGGCTCATCAGCTGGGCTGCCCAAACTGCTTTGTTGGTCAAGGCTGTCCTGAAAACATTTATCTCTGTATCACTACTTTATGCAAAGTGTTACTCCCGAAAACAAAGTTTCTACAGTCTCTTACAACACATGGTTAAACAGAGAGATGTGACAAACTCCCCTGTTCTCATTCTAACAGATTATTTGGTGGATTTCTGAGAACCTGTCAACATGTCATTCTTTTGACCCCATTCAAGAATTTATCATCGGTAGGTATTTCTTTTCCTGCATACCCTAGTTGTGACTTAAGGAGAAGCCACAATGTCATAAACTGACTCTCTTCTTTCTAAACTTTTTGGTTATGATTTATGTTAACTGACCTGCATTTTGTGGTGTTGGAGACAATATCAGCAGTTTAGAAGATACATAGATCTCTCAAAATCAGATTGGCAATAAAACTTTTCAAATGCATTCTTCTGTCTAGTGGGACAAATAAATTTATTGTTATTTTAGGTCAGTGGAGAGCAAATTCTCAGTCTGGCTCCTGTCTTGGATGTCTGGGATGTAAATAATTGAGATTGGAGCGGAGGAACAAATCTCCTCTAGCCTAGCCCAAAAAACATTTTTTCATAAGGATTTGGCATATCATGATATTCTCTTCTAATACCGATTCCTCAGCCTAGCCAGTGCATGTCCTGTGCCCTGAGCCTTTGTACAAAGGACCCCTGCAGTGCTGAGCTGTAGCCAAGCAGCTGACCCGGCCCTGCAAGCCATCTGGACTTCTCTTCCTCCTTTTGTGCACAGAATGGGACCAGTTCCACCATGGAGGAAGCTGTTTTAGAGTCAGCAGCAGGATTTGTCCCTAAAAAAGTGTTAGATAAGGAACTGACTGTGAAGCCTACTCTTGTTAACTGATAGTTTATACAATCTTGCCCTTATAAATCTTTTTACATTGCATTCAGCCTCCCTGTACTGCAGAATGTGTCCAGAAACTCACAACCTGGATAAACTTTTGCCCTACACGTCACTGCTTGACTGGATTGGGGTAAGATAACAGCTGGTACTTTAATTAATAGCTAGAGGGAGTCTGGTTTTTCTCCCTTAATACAGTCTTTAATTTGTATGCCTTACCTTTTCATAGACATGCTCTAAATCCATATCTGTGCTTTATGCCCATTTTATTTTGTCAAGTCTTAACCTTAGTGGTGTTTTCCATGAGTCCTATTTTTTGTCAACAAATAAAAGCATTTATAAAACAAGAACAGCTACTATAATGATTAAATCTCTCAGTTTTCATAATGAGGTATTAATTTATTGCTTATCATATGAGGTTTATAATGAATATAGAATATATTTAACCAGCAAAATCATGTAGTTATTTCCAAGACAAACAGTATCAGTAGAGTTAAGATTTATGAGTAAGTTTGCAGAAGTAAAATAACTTCAGGCAAGACACTACAGTTGGAACAAGTAGCTTATTTTAATTTCTCTGATTTGACACAATTCTAATATATTGTCTTTTTTTAAATGAGATGAATGAGAGAAACGTCTTCCATGTTTCTTTTTGGCAAAACTGTATGTACATTTTGGCTAGCTAGCTAGTTTCACAAAGGACACAGGTAATGGAGATTTACTTAGATACTCAAACAGGCCCATGTTTTATGCTATATTATTTACATTCTTATAATTTGTCTGTATTTATAGATTATCCCTGGAGTAACATGTGCAACAGACCTTATTTCTCTACCTGTGTTAGAGGTAAGTTCCAGTATAAAACCACATTTGTATTTGCAGATTAGGAGCTTTTTTTGGGGGGGGGGGTGCTAAACACTAATGAAGCAGTCTCCCCACAGCCTTATCCAAACATAGGGGTGAATGGAAAATTGCCCTGTTTGAAATGGCTTATGCATTTACTAAAATATCAGTTATTCAGGCTGATGTTTGCTAGCTCAAAGATATTTTTTTTTTTTCCCCTTTCTGAAAAGACTTCTTCCTTTCAGCAGGGAAGATCCTCCAAGAATTAATTCTTGTTAGATTTGATTGATACCTCTTCATTTTGTGACTTCGTTAGCTGGAGGTAAACTTGGCACAACAGACATGTAGGATTTCTACATATCTCTACGTATCTCCACTTTGAGGGATATTTCTTTGTGCTGCCGCTGGTACCAATGGCTCATGACTCTCACACTTTGCTTTGTCCAGAGCATCCTGTGATTGCACTGATGTCAAGGCTTTGGCTAGCTAAATCTAGACAAATTCCTGCACAGCCTGGAAAAGGCAGTGAGCTGGATGGGGAGAGCACAGGTTGTATGGGTGGAAAATTGTATTTCCCATTGAAAAAAACACGAATGATTCTTCCTGTCTTCCATTTCACTCCCTCAGCTCCAGTTTAGAGAAATACTTGAAATTCTCCTAAGTGTTCCCCTGCAAAATCTGAAAGAGGCTTTTAATAAGCAGCTTGTTGTGAAGGGCTGATGGGAAGAGTCAGAGCTTGAACGCAACGGTACCAGCAACACATGGGAGTAGACTCTGGATACATGACAGTATTCTTTCATGTAGCACTTTAAAGAAGTGAGAGTCTGTTTCCTCCCCAGTGCTTATAATCAGCTCATAAAGCTTCACTGTTCACAAAATCTTTTAAAATCAGTGAAATTACCCTCTGCTCACTCACTCCGCAACAGTGCATCACAGCTGTGCTGCTACAGATTCACATGACTGCTGTCAGGGAATTGGGCTTTGCATGCTTTGCTTGGGAAGGCTGCCCTGAGAGCTGGGACACCTGGGAAAATCAGATCTTGAGAAAATTTGTTGCTAGATAATCCCTGTAATTCACTGAGGTCAAAGTTAGCAGGCCTTTAATTTCTCTGAGATTGAACCTCAAGCCCCTGGGGGCAAATGCCTTTAGCAGCTATACTTCCTGATTGTGGAACTCATTTCCTATTTCTGTCTGAAACCTAAACAGATTGAAAAGGTCAGAGTTGAACTACAGACAAGTATTTCCTGCTACTTTTGACTGCAAATTGCTCTGACTCTTGAGTGAGGACAAAGATGATAATACACAGGGTAAGGTTTAGGGCTTTGGCTGCTTTGTACCACTGCAGTGACACAAACCCACCATAGCTCAAGTTCAGCTGGTCAGTTGTTGGGGTTTCAGATGGTGTGTGTTGTTGGCATCACAAGTCAGACCCTGGTGACAAATCTGGTCCTTAGTAGTATTTCTTTTGCAAAGATTTTATGGTATTTCACAGAAACAATGGTGAATTGTTGCTTTGAGAAGCTTTTTGGAGTTCTCAAGCCCATGAATTGTTGAGAGCCTTTGGGAGGGCTATGTCCATATTCACAAAAAAATTTGTGCTATTTGGCTAACAGGTGTATTTTTATCACTAAATTCCTGTTCAGCAAGAGATATTGAGAGAGTCTTTCAGAAAGGGGGAACAGTCAGAGTCCGATTGTCAAAAAGCTTTACATAAGGATTGCAATTAATAAGAGTCTGATTTTTTTTTTTTTTTTTTTTTCCTTTCCTTTTTAAAAACAGAAACCAAACTTGAAGGGATGCAAATAGGCTTGATCAGAAGGGGAGAAAATAGGAGGAGGTCCAGGAGGAGAGTGAAGATGTATAGTGCAAGCAGTTGTTAGAGAGATCAGCACAGGAAAAGGCAACCTCTCCCTCATGCTGTGCTGAACCACTGGGGTGAAGAGTGATGTTTTAAGGAGTAGCTGCCTGTGCAGCTACGTAGTTAGTTACACGGCTCTCTGAATACCTTCACTGCTGGGAGACATAGCACTATAGTTCCCAGGGAGAGCACATGCGCCTCTTAAAGGTCATTGGCACCCTGCATCCTTTCAGAGGGGTATAGCAGAGAGCTCTCTTTTTCTTCAGTTAAAACAACACTACTTATGAAAGGCTTCATGGGAGCTTTTCACGGATTGCAGCCTGGTAAGGCCCTGCTTTGACTTCTGGTAATACAATGTCTTTCAGGTGTTCGTGCTTAGGTTTTAAAATCCTGACTCTCTAGAAATGTCTGCAAAATAAACACCACCTAAGACAAAGAAGCCTTCTCTTTCTAGTCCTTGCCCTGATGATCCTCAAGAAATAACAGATGTAATTAAAATAATCCTTTATTTTAAACTTTTGACTTTTTAATGAGATCTAATACAGTGCAGGTTTTCAGTGGTGTCTGCTTTTAATTCTGAAGTCTACCACTTCCTGTTACAGACTCAATGTATGAAAGAAACTTGCTGTCTTGCTTCCCCCCTGCCACACATCAAACAAAATCCAGTGTGGCCCAAATGCAATTTTGCAGTGGTGGTGGTGTCGCAGTTGCATAAATTGGTCACTAGATGATACCCTTACGCTATATTCTTGGTATTTCTCTGATTCCATATTGGTAACATTTAGGCGACACACTGCAGTAGTAGGTTGTAGATCTTGTTAGTTAGCTCCAGCAGGGTGAACATATGGTGCCATATGCACTCCTAGTTTCCAGCTGCTAAATATAACTAACATGAAGCAAAAGGAGATTTACTTTTCTCTGCTGCAGCTACAACAATAAAGCAACAATCAGCACTGGCAGCAAGAGGAAAGTGGCTGACAAGATTGAGTCTCTGCAATTTATTTTCCTTGGCAAATTGTAGTTTATAGGAGGAAGTGGTTTTAAAGGCTTCTGATGTTTTCTTCTAAAGTTATTGTCATTGTGGAAAAGTAGGGGGGAGAGAGCAAAATCCAACGTGTTAATTGCAAGATGGAGGAATATTGTGAACTTAAACTTCTCTTCCTTCAAATGTCACTACTGTAGTGTCTGTATGGGAAGGTAAATGTATATAAAGCGGGGCAAGAATGGCTAGTACCATCTCTTGTTTTTTAAAACTGCCAAAAAGAATTGCCTTAATCTTATGTCTTCCTCAACAATAATCACATCACTCCCCCTTTATAAACAGTGGCTTCAAATCTTTATATCCAGTCCAAGAACTAGCTCAGGAAACCAGTGTGTGTTTGTTTGGGTTTTTTCCTCCTGTCTGTTCACAGCTGAGTTTAAATTAATTTCAGCATTAGAGTAAAAGGCTTTAGAATTGCTATGGAAATGTTTGGATTTTGTTTCTTTTCGGGGATGAGGCAGTGTTACTTGAGTTTGGCAAATAGATGTTTGCAATGTAAGTATTAATGCAGCTTGAAAGTAGTGGCAGCCTGCAGCTGCTGGGGTCATGGTGGTATTGCTCTATTTGGAATTCCAGAAACCTGGAATGGGATTTATTTGACCAAATGTAAACATTTACATCTAAGGCTTGCCTAAGGCTCCTTTTACAGTCAGCAAAAGTCTAGACAATACAGCCAGTGTAGTCTGTGGTGCAGTTCTTCCCATCCCAAACATCTGAAATAGGTCAGGTGAATTATGACCTACGAGTACTCATTTCTTCCCAGTGGCTTACGATGGCAAAGTATCTGCATTACAGGCACCAAATCTTGACCTCAAGTTTAAGTGCTACCCCTGCCGTCAAATCAAGGAAATAAAAGTACTGGAAAAAAAATAGTGTAACTGCTTTTGTTTAACTTTTTCACTTAGCTTGTTATGAAGCTACATTAATCACAGTTCTTTCCAATCACTTAGTGGGGGAGTGATTAGGTATTTTTTTAAGAGTGCAGCCTGTATTCATGCTTTCTCTGCAATACTTTGCAGTTCCAAAACTCGAAAGGCTTCTGGGAGAAACTCAACTCAAACTTGGAGAGTGTGAAGTATGCAGAGCCACACTTGCATTATCACAATAATGTGCTCAGGAAGGAATGGCGTAACCTTTCAGAAGAGGTAAATATGCATGTACGGAAACAGTCTCCAGAGCTGTCTCTGAAGTGGATGTTTTAAAGCCAAACACGGAAGAGTTGGCTTTTTTTAATTTGAGGGTAAAGAAATGGGAATCTGATTATGAGAACTGCAAAGACTTGCAGTCATTTTACTTATAAGGTGATTGCCTGTAAGTCTTACTCTGTTAAAATAGTGCGAGAAACTAAACAAAAGCAGAGCTTGCACATACCTGTATTGTCATGTAGGTTAGATGTGTGTGAGTGCCTATGAGCATGGGTAGTTGGAAGGTGGATTGAAGCCCCACTGTGCATTATTTGCATTCAAAGGGAAAACGAGCTTCATTTCTCATCTGTGTTTTATCAGGGAGTATTTTAATTGGCCTTCTACTTTGTTCATTTGGGGATTTTTGTTTGTTTACAAACCAGAGAGAGGAGAGAAGAACTACAGCGTATTTGAGGAATATTTTTGAAAATGCCAAAAAGTAGGTACTGGTTTCTGTTATATTTACCCTTTCTTATTCTGTTGAAGTATGTTGAAGAATCTAACATGCCATTTAAATAGTTGATTAGGTATCTAATTAGATATTTAACTTTAAAGAAGGTTATCCAGCTGAAAATCAATTATTGGAATCCTTGTAATCACTACAGCACGATCTGAAATATCCAGGCCTCTAGAGCTAGGGAATTTATGGTAGATGTGAAGAGTTATTCTTATGCAACCTAGACAGATAGAATATTTTTTTAATGCTATTTAATATCTTTACTAAATGTAGTCACATGTACAGCTCTTGGTTTTCTTTAGCTGCCTTTGAAAGATCAAAGGGTCATTTAAGCTTTTTAATGTCCTTATGAAATCCTTTAGAGTAATGCATATGAAACAAGTTGATTTTTGTTTCAAACCCCAGGGTGCTTTCTCATCTGGATGCTTGGGACTCTGGTAAGTAAAACTTGTCTAGATGTAGGCCTTAGCTGTAAGGTTTATTAGAATATTTCCATCTAGCTGCTGTTGGCTAAAAATAAATTGCTGTGTGTGTTTTCAGCACTGAAAAGTTTGAGGCATTAAGATGAGCGGTTATTGAATTAGAGGAAAACTTTCTGATAGTAGTGGTAGGATCATATACTGACTAGGAAACCCTTGAAAATAGATCCTACTTTACACTGGATCTAACAACATAAGCAGTTGTCTGCCTAAAGATTTCTTCAGGATTTTTCTCCTGGAGCATCACTGACGCCATGTTACTGTTGAGTCTTCTCCACTTATAGCTGCCTTTGCAACTCTAGAACTTGTGTACAGTAGATTATGGCTGGTGAAAAATCATGGTGTAGAGAAAGCAGACATGTAATGAATTTCCCTAGGTCAGGAACACTTGAGATTTTGTGATGCTCAGTTCCTCTGTCACAAATAAGTAAAACTGAATTTAGTAGTAAATTATGTTCCTGCTGTTCACACATCAGTGCCTTCTATGTGCCCTGTGTGCTGTGAAATGATGCTGATCTAAGTGCTGCTCACTCCTTTTATTACAAAGAATTTTCAGTGCATTCATTTCCGGCTGGTAACACTGGTCATCTGCACCACTGCTGGTTATTGCTATGGGCTCTGACGTTGAGGGACCTTGTATCAACTTTGCTAGCTAAGGTTCATGTTTTCCAAAGGTGCTTATTGATAAAGAAGTCAGATGTTTAACTGTTACTAGAGAATTTCTAGATAGCTGCCAGCAGGTAACAAGCATCATAGTGTATCTTCCCTGTAGATTTTTCTTCACGTCCTTTAAAATCAAGCAACACAGGTCTTTGTGCTGCTAAGTGGTGGAGTAAATATATTTCAAGGTAAGCAAAGATGACTGGAAAGAACTTTGTAAAAATTTGGCACTTGTGTCTGTAAAATGTTGACTTGATTTTATACTACATGATGAAATAAGAGGTTGTTTTTCTTCCTTTGTTAGTAGACAGGAAGCACTGATTAGGAAATACAGGGTATTAAATTTCAGTAGATACTATAACCTCCTTCCATTTAGTTAGAAAAGTTATGTTCTTTTACATAGTGGTCTGCAAATCTGAATAACAGAAGCAGCCAGACCATGGGAGGGAACCAGAAAAGTGGGAGGTGATTCTGTGGAGTATTTACTTTGTGTCTAGCCATTTCCTTGGGAAACGTATGTAGCTGTTTTGGCTTGTTTGTTTGTAAATGACAAGTTCTAAATAGCATACGCATTTGCACTGGTGTTACCAGAAGGTTCTCTGAGCCTCTTTGCTCTACTGAATCACCACACCATGATAACTCTCCCTTAAATATCAAAGAAAAGAGTAATGCAGATGAAGTGTAAAGTGGTGTGACAGGCTTGTGTTCCTCTATGCTCAGTGTTAAGCAGTTGAGGGAGAAGATGGTAGATATAGGGTTATTTTCCATTCCTTGGTTCTCTCTTAGGCAGTCCTTGATTCTTGACTATCTTAGTTCTGTAGGCGAGTAGATCAAACCACAGCTTCTGTTTGTATATGTTTCTAAGTACTTTTGAAGCTGGTTGAAATCTCATGGTATTTCTATAGCGTCATGTCCTTGAATGATTCTTGCTCTGTTTATTTCAGAGGAAAGGCTAGTACCTCTCTTTCAAGAGGAAGATTATCAGCAGCAATTACTAATGGGACTGGTACGTGCTTTTGTCACAGTGTGCACTAGAGGACGCACAACCTCAACAAATGTAAAGAGTAAGCTTATAAGTTCCAGTGCTGAGTAGAAGCTCACTCAAAGTAACTATGGGACAAACATGATATTTCCTAAGTTTCAGAGTTCACAGTCATGATACCATATAATTTTAACAGGTCACGATATCATAAGGCATTGGGGAAAAACAGCAATGGAAAGTTGGTTTGTCAAAATGCCTTTTGCATACAACTTTTTACTTTTTGCAAGCTTTTTGTGTACAACTTTTTGTTGGCTAGAAACTGTTATTCCATCTTCCTGGAGGTCATCTTAATCTGTCAGTTACTTTTGCGCTACTTTACATCCTTAAAACATGTGTAGGTGAATTCCCCATCCACTGCTTTCCTCAAAGAGAAGATCGCAGATCTTCTTGCTTGTCAATTTAGCACCTTTTTTACTGTCTCCTTTTCCTTCTACCTCACTTCTGGGACTGCCGTGGCTGTTCTGAGGTCCCTTCCTCTTTTGCACTGTTTTCACTGATGATCTCCCCAAAGGATCTACCATCCTTATGCTTCTGAGTAATAAATCCTATCTCAAATCCCTACCTATTTTTCCCTCTGTCTAAATACACATCTTCGTTTATCTCCTGTTCTCTTAGTATTAAAACCAAATAAAACTCTTCTGCATGCACTGGAAGATCTCAGCACTGCATCTGTGAAGAGCATGTCAACACCATCCTGTCTGTCCAAATGTAAGGCAAATTTTCATTCTTTGCAGTCTGGTCCCCTTATGTCCAAGTTCTGCCTCTCATTCTCTGAAGCTTCTCTACATTCCTTCCCTGCAGTTTATTCAGAGAGATCCAAAAAGTAGGTCACTGCTGTCCTTTGTCTATACTTTCCTAATACCTATATTGCTGTCCTGACACATTGAGATTAATCTACTTGTAAATTGCTTGATACAGAGTTTTTTATTTGCCTCAGTTTTTCTCTGAGCTTTGAAACAAATAACACTTCATAGTAATTCTCAGCAAAGAACCAGCTTGGACTTGAGTTGCAATCAGAAGCTACGTGAGGTCAGAGAATATTTCAGAAAGGAGAGGGTAGGGAGTGGCATGAACTGTATGATAAGAAACATCTGATTTTAAAGACTTTACAATTAATGTTTAACCTGAAGTTGCCATTAATCACTCAGGTTCTCAGATTCTTGGCTACTACCATAAACTGTACTTGTGCTAGTTTTCTCTATCACAAAATCCCTCAGGTTTGTTTGTATGTAATAAATAGTTATATTTCAGGATTCAACACTCGTATTAAAATCCTTCTTTCACCCTGTTCACTTGGCTTGACCCAGAGAGATGTAAGAACTGTAGGCTTTTTCTATTCAATGTCATTGAAAGTTTAATTTAGCACTCATTTTGCTTAATTTGCACCAAGAAACCATTTTGAATATTCAGATCTGCTATTGAATTCGACAAGCTTGTATGGTAGCTTGGGATTTCACTCTGAACTGGAGTTTTGTAACAGGGAAAGTTGTGTTGTGCTAATGCCTATTGATCAGGCCCTGCACCTGATGGAGCTTTTGCATCTTTTTGAAGATGCCATAAGGACACTGAATTGTTGGCTTTTTTTTCTAGATGGTTGCTCAGCTAAAGGATCACCTTATGAGACATCTACAGTATGTAGGAAAAAAGAAGATTGACCAAATAGTTTTGGATTACGTTGCAAACCTGGTTAGTTTGATTTCATAGTCACTGTTGTGAGCAAGCATGTATTTGTTGGGGGGGAGGGTCTTGGGTATGTATTGTGTGTATATAGCATATGTTTGGTGGTGGGAGATTGTTTTTAAGATGTTTAACCATATTTTGCTGCTTAATATTATTTATATTGATGAAGGACAAAATACTACTTAAGTGATATTAAAAAGAGTTGTATTGGTCTCTCAGAATACAGAAGAAACAGTTCTCTTTACAGCTTGTACAAATATGGTCTACTCCCAGAAGTGAAAATGTGAACTCATCCTGAAAGTTGAAAGAATGGTCTTCAGATCCACTTTTTTTCCTGTAGAATACATGGCTGCATGTCTTGAATAATGAAAGTGCCAAGGGGAAATACAAATTAAGAAAAAAAGATCTCTCTCCAATATGGTATGAGAGTAAATCATCACTACTCCTACATACTGACTTCGGGCTTTTTGTGAGTGTAACAGGAGACAGAGTTTTGCCTAAAGATAATCTATATAAACTACAGTGCAAACTTGCTTTCCAAATTCTTAATTTTCTGTCTTTCATCCTCTTAAGGGAAACTTTAAAAAAAAAAGCTGTAAAAACTGCAACTGTTGTGCATAGAAATTATTGTACTTGGGTTTGTCTGTCTCAACATCAAGTCCTTTAAGTGCAGAATGCAGAGTCCACGAGCTCACATGGCAACTAGTAAATCATGTTCTTTGTCTTTGTGCTAGCCCTATCACCTGATTCAGCAGAAACTCCCCACCGTGCTGTTTTCGAGGGATAGAAATCTCGGGAAACTTTCTTGAGGCTACTGGTGCCTGCATCTTTTCTGAAGTCCTGTGCAAATCGGTTCTGATGTTGACGTTACAATGTTCTCTGAACTGCTGAGGTTACTAACTTTTCGCTCTATAGCTTGACAAGTTGTTTTACTGGTAATTACAGTCTGTTTTCTGTGTCTTTATAGGAAGGAAAGAAAAACTAGTGAGTGATTGAAATAGAAACAGTACAGCATGAACCAAAGCTTTGTACCTGAAAACAGTGCCGAAAGAAGCAGAAGTGGAATGTTTGTTCTCCTTTTCATTCATTTTCCAGTTATCATTTGTTCATTCTTAATATAAACTAAGATAAAAAATGTGAAAACACCTATGCAGCCTTGATCTGCAAGACTAAATTATTATAGACTAAATCTTAGAATAAAAACAAATCTCAGCCCTCCCCATCAGCAAACTCTCAGCTCTTAGGATTTTTTTTTTTAACGTCACTAAAAGCAAGAATTCTGTCAACTCAATTTACAGACTTCTAATTCTTGGAAAAACTACTATGAACAAAGATAATATGTCTTTTACTTCTGCCCTCTGGCTGGCGCATCTTAGGTGCCGTTTGGAAATCTTTAGAAATTATTTCATTGTTAGGCTTGGGTTTCCCCTCATCCTAGTCAGAAACTCTTAAATCTTAAACCTTTCTATATCCTAAATGTTTTGAAGTTCTTCAGGGGAATGAATTGTTTTGGTTCTTCCAACAGTTTTCTGTAGCATCAGCAGCATGTAGCTGAGCTACTGAAACTAATGAAACAGGAAGAGACTTGAAATGATTTGCTTGTCTGCTTTCATAAAATATTTTTTATTAGATTCAGGAGCAAAGGAGTGGCTGAGAATAGGGCTCCGTGGTGTGTAGCCACTGTATAAATCAATTGCAGCTGAAGTCGAAGTAGCCAAGACATGGGAGCATTAACAGTTTCTCATAAAACAACAGACTAGTGGCTGGTTGCTGTCAGAGAGCTCTGTGTATTTGTATACAGAGAAGTAACCTGGGAAGCGTGAATGAAATGTCTCAGTGGGAATCCCTTTTGCCAAGGAGGTCTGCAGGGCCTGAGTATGACTGGTTACCAGTTCACATGCCAACTAGCCTGCAGTAATTGTTTGTATGTCCGTATTCTCTCTCCCCTGCAAGCTCTTTATCTTAGCTTTACTCCGTATCTGTTTCTCTCACTCTTTTCATTTCAGCAGGCTGAGGAAGGGGGGAAATAACTTACAGAAGCAATGGTGCCCTGACAGCAGGTGGAAGAGGAGGCAGAGTGAACAGCCAGCCTGTGGCACAAGAAAGAGATAGACCAGAATAAACTGTTGAAATTTCTCTGAAAGTCATTGCAGTGGCTGCATCTTTTTGGCTGGTGTCTGTGGCTAGCTATCATCTGATGTGGTCTCAACTGCGGAGGAATAGAAGACAGACACCATTTGGATTTGAGTTTCCTCAGAAGGAGGAAGACTGCCTCGTATCACTTGCGCAGGAGGGAATCTGGAAGGCAGCAAGACCGTGTCTTAATCCCTTTTCTCCTTTGCTCCTGATTCTGTTGTTTGGCTGCTTCCATGTCTTTCCTGTAGAAACAGCCACAGGAGCTGAGCACTTGTGGTTCCAAATGACTCCAGTGAAACTTCAGTCTGCTCAGCACCTTTGCCTGGAAATGTAGATGTTTCAAGACAGTAAGGTGCTTTGCAAATGTCAGCCTAGGCCCTACTGCCTGCACTGTCTCAGTGTTGATCATGTTTTCTCTCGCTAGTTTAGAGCACTCCTAGGGAAATGGCTTCTGATACTTGCCCAGAAAAACCTCATATTGTACGTCTTTTGTTACTAAATGAAAAATGGCTTTGCCATGAAGGTATGGGTATAGCTCTTAACTTGGTTCCCCCGGAGACCCGCTGCTAGCCTTGGAGAGCAAGCTGCCTGTACTCCCTCTATAAAACAGATAATGTTTCCTTTCTCTCATGCATGTTGTCCTGTGTGTTGTATACTGAAAAAAGTTTGAGACATGGCTTCTCTTTCTGTCTGTATTTTCTACAATGTCCATTGTGGTTGATCTCCAAAGTGCGCAGTGCTGTTGGTGAGGGTGTCATGTCACAAGCATGTATTTAAGATTTAAGTATGTTGTGATAGCTAGGTTGACATTGACTTAAGAAGTTATTATCTTTCTATACCCTGTGAAAGCCATACAGTTTGGTGTATTGTTAAGCAAAGAATATTGATTCTGGAGTATCATACCCATGAAAACAATTTTTGCTGCACAAATAATAAGAGGTGATTCTGGAGTTTGTAAGAAGCTTCCCTTCACCTCACCACTGATCTTCAGATCCAGCTGTAGCTCCCAATGCAGACATCTTAGCTGCACCCTGTGTGCTGGCCAGAGATGAAAGTAATTCCGGCAGCAGGTGCGGTTCTTGTGACCCTTCTCCTGAAAACTGGAAATCACTCATTTCCTGGAAAACGAGTGGAGAAAACTTGCCATACTCCAGAGAGATTAAACTGGAGCTTTCCACTGCATCCAGAAGGTATGAAGATGGAAAGTATTAGGTGGTTATTCTGCGTCAGGTAGCTGTGCAAGGCTGGATGGAGTGGTGGAGGGAAAAGGTGCTACCTTGTAGAGGAGAGCACTGAGGAGCATTACTGAAGACTGATATTCCTGTTCCGGCCTTTGCATATGAACTTCTCCCGTGTGTCCTGTTTCCCTCTTGCTCAGAGCCTGTGACAAGTTAGAGGTTGGAGGGGGCAGAGCCTATGAGGAGAAAAGAGAGTGGGGAAAAGGATTCCTGGATTCTGGCCATCTTCAGGGGGGAAAAAGGGTTTGTAACTTCTCGTGACACCTCTCTGCAAAACGGGGGTCACACTTGCTTCCTGAGAGTTTCCTGGGATTGATTGATTAGCACGCTTTGAGGCCCAGAGATAAAAGGCGTAGAGGAAGTGTCTCAATTCTGTTACTGAGATATGGAAGCAGTTACACATGACAACCGTGAGGGGCCGGCTAGAGGAAGTTATTTCAACTCTTTCATGTGTGGTTTCTCTCTTTCAGCTGCAGAAGCTTAGAAGGCCCAAGTGAGAACAGGGCTTGTGGCTTTTGCATGCTGACAGTCTGTACTGGAGCTCAGCCTGGAGCACGAAGAAGCAACAATGTGGGCCACGGGATTGTTTTACTTCACTATGGACAAAAAGGAAACTCAATAGAGGAGGAGAGGCATTTGCTTGTCTCATCTTTCCTCCTTGCCAGGACTAGATTTGTGATTCCTCCTGCAGACTTTTTTCAGCAAACTGAGTATTCCGCTGTCTTCAGCATCATCCCAGTTTTGTCTGGGTCCTAGGGACCTTTCCTTAGCCATGCTTAGCCATGCTCAGCCACTTGGAGGTGCAGTTTTTGCTTTCATGGTAAACAGATCTTTGAGAATTCGATGCAAGAGAGTGAAATCATTGATCCCCAAGAAGCACAATGTGTTAAGATGCTGCATGTTTTCACAATGCTTTGATGAGCTAGAAGAACTTACTTTAAACTTCTGGAATAAGCAATTCAGTTACAATTCAAATTTTAATCAATTTTACATTTTAAGCCCCTAGGGAAAAAAGATAAATACTGAAGTGTTAGTAGGAGTCTCATGATAAGTTTTTAACATAAACTAGTGTGTGAAATGAATGAAGGTCAATGGCCTGCTGTACACAGGCTCCTAGAAACATTCAGTCTTTTCTTTTTTGTTTTAGCTGAATCTGGTACATCGAATAATGAAAGAAGTTTGGAGGAGATACCAGCTTCATTCCTGCATCTTCTGCTTGTGAGCAAGTCATTTGTTAAAGTTTTCAGCCTGCCTTTTAAAATATGGGGGTAATAATTTTGGTCTTCAACAATACTACTCGCTTGAACAGTCATTGCTTACTCTACTGTGAACGTCAATATGACTGTCATGTACTCTTTTTAATGATCCTGCTGGCCCTCTCTAAGCCAACATGAATATTAATCATATAGGCATTTTTACAGCTGGAGTTCAAGTTGCTGAGTTCACAGTGGTCTCAAGCTGGGTACTGGGTGTTGAACACCTATAAAAGCCAGGTCACTTATACCAGCACTCAAAATATTTCACCTGTTGCTGTTGATACCAGGTTCTGCTGAGAGACTTGTAAATATGCAGTAGTGGGGAAGGAGAAAGGGGACACCACAAAGACATTGTGTGTCAACATTTAGATGAACAGCTAATGCTGGTAGGTGACAGACACCTGAGCAAAGAAGATAGCATCCCATGGCAATTCACTATTTAGTGCACATGTAGTACAACAAATTGACCATATCTCCAGGAGGGTGTGGCCATCTCAGGCTCTTAATATGTTGCTACTTTATTAAACACAGTGATGAGAGAGGAAGTACAGGAGAGTTTGCAGTGTTCCACATCATGAGCCGGATTCTGGAAGCTGCAAATGGCATGTGCATGCCTTTACCTCCTGGTAAGTCCTATGTTTTGCTGTTTTAATCATAAGTGAGGAGAGCAATGCTGTGAATTCCTCCCAGAAAAGCAGTAGTTGCAGCATGTGTCAAGTTAGCTTTGGCAGTATTGAAATCTATTCAGGACAGTTACAGAGGGGAAGGCCCTCCATAAACACGTGCAAGTGAAATGAAACAAATCTTTTCAAAGCACTTGCTTATTTTTGTTAACACTTTCTGATTCTGTTTGAATCTTTCTAGTTTGTATTTCCTGAGCTTCTTCGGTCTTTGAAACTGTTTTTGGTATGAGGTTGTCCCTCAAACTTACACTGTGTGGGCGCAAATGCTGGCATGTAATGGTGTCATGTGATGCAAGACCATCATCAGGCTGATGTTAAGTGAGAAACTGAAGTCTTAACGCTGCCTGTGGGAATGTGTGGGTGGCAGCCACATACTGAGAGTGGCAAGGCCTCAGTTTTTTATTAATTGGGAGGAAAGCGGGAGATAAAAGATAAATTAATAGCACGATTCAGATATAAGGCAACACCTTGGAGATATTTAATGACTGTGTATGACTATAATGACTGTCTTCAGTCCCTTTGGCTTTCCTCTTTCTGACAGGATTATACTTGACTTAAAAGAATGCCTAAATAAGACTACATGACTTTTGATAAACTGATTTCCTCACCAACTAGAAACAGTCAGAAGTTAAGGAGAGTGTTGGCTTTAGCTAGAGTAATGTCAATCTCTAATACAGACTTAGAAAAAAAAAAAAAAAAAATATTGTACCAAACAAGTTTGTGTCTCTTACATAGGTTTTCACACTCTGCACTTGGGGCTTGGTGTTCGATGTCTCCCTCTGCACACCCTCCTGCACTATATTGATAATGGAGTCTTGCATTTGACAGAAACATGTGTCAGGAAATTGCTGAAAGGTAAAGTGAGTTTCATGTCTTTCATTTGTTACTAGCCAGCTAATTGGAAGTGATGTCCTTTCAGCCGTTCAAACTCAGACATGGGATTTACTGCCTGGGAGACTCAGTTCTTCTTCCAGAGTGCTTTTTCAGTGAGGGCTGTAGCTGATGGCATTGCCCAGCTGCAAGGAGAAAATTAGGGCTCAGACTATGTGATTATTACCGTAGTAGACAAAGAAATACCTGTTTGGGGAGAATTTGAGTTTATAATTTTTCTCGTTGGGACTTCTTAGAAAAGTGAATACTAAAGATAGTCATAGAATTTGTTGTGGGATTTCTGTGACTCTATGAAAGTGCACACCTATGTGTAAGGAAGTTAGTCTGCTATCCAGGCCTTAGCTTTTGTTTTAATTATGTTTGGAACAAGATAATCCTAGTGCTGGGACTGGGAAATGGCTAGAAACTCAGTACTAGGAAGTAAAAATTCAAAATAAGTAAACAAAAGCCTAACTGACCCAGCGTCCCAATATTTTGGGGAATATTGAGATTGTGAATGTCTTCTAAATAGATAGTAAAGTTGCCTAAAGGTGGGAGTTAAAATCAGTTCTGTGTGAACCCATATAGTCATCAAGAGGGGCCTAAGGCTTCGGAACGAAATAGGGAGTAAGACAAATTGGCAGTTGCAGGCACAGTTAGCATCACACCCATGTTAACTGCCTTTTCGAGATCAGAAGGGAGGAAGCATAAGTTTCCTGGGATACAGCAGCACCATGGTACAACTCTCCAGCAGTAATGCATTTCATCACAGCTGCAACCACGTTCCCTTGTAACATGCTACTTCTCCAGTGTTCGAGAAAAGGGACAGAATATGCAGTATTAGTCTGTGCCTGGACTTGGTAAATGAAATATTATAAATATGGGGAGTTCTACTTAGTCAAAACATGTTTGAATTACTGTATAAATTGTTATATAAAGTGGTGAAGTTAAGTACACATATATAGAAAAATATTTATATAAATAGTATAAACATAAATAACACTTGTAATAGTCCTTATTTAAAATTAAAATTTTCATTTCATTACAAAGATGATATTTATTCAGAATGTCTTAAGTGAAAGTTGAAAGTTTTAGTTATGTGGTTACCATTAACATCGGTGGTTTTGTGTTTGGGTTTTTTTTTTCCTTTCTCTTTTCCTTTTCTTTTCCCTTCTCTTTCTTTTTGCCTTCCTGTAGATCTGGATGACACTGAGAAGAATGAAAAGCTGAAGTTCAGTATTATCATGAGGCTTCCCGAGGTAACTAATAACTTTGGATGTCATTTCTTGGATTTTGGAATCGATAGGAAGTTCCTCCCTGTGCATAGGATCAAGCCAATGGAAGAGTTAGCTGTGATTCAAACAGGGCACAGATATAACCTGAACCTCCGCAGTTTCTCCATCTGGTGCTCGTGACCTGTAGGGTACCCTGACAACTTAAATTATAGGTTGTTCCATAGTGTTTCACAGTGTCTCCAGTACCCTGCAGGAATCAAATAGACAAGGCTGACACTGTTCTGTTGAGTACTCAGCTGCATAAAGCAGATTTTATGGGGTTTAAAGAGTATTTATTTGTGCGTGTGCGTGTTTTATGGCATCCACAAATGCCTTTCTCACTTGTGACCTCTGCATTTAGTTTTATTCATTTTATCAAATATGTTCAAAAGCTGGTACAGTAAAAGCTGTAAAATCTGATCATATCACAACTCTGTGGCGGAGATTGAATTACAAGATCTCCCTCTCTGTGAAATATCCCAGCCTCGCCCGTTGGTAAAGCAACTCCTTTAGCCACATGCTGGAACTGATTACTGATGCTCCATTCAAAGTCCCAACAGAACGGGAGCTTGACTTCTCCTTTTCCCCTTTTGTTCTTAGTGCGCACCACAGTACTGCAGAGGAAGCACAACATCTCAGTGAGCAGAGGAAAACCAGGGATCCCCCCCTTGGGGAGCGCCTTGCTGTAGAACAGGCTTTTCTCAACATAAGTTGCTTATTGTTTGCTCATTATGGGCTGTTACATATAGTTCAGATAGCCAGAAGTGCTGCTTTGGTTTTCTTCTAACAAGGGCTTCTTTATTCGGCAGCAGTTTTGAGAAGGGGTAGGGAAGGAGAACTCCACAGGACATTCTTTGTCCTCTGTATCTCATTTTGGGCATGGGTTGGTGAGCTGGGGTCAGCGTGGGGCCTCTCTGAACTGTCAGTTCCAGGCCTAGTGGGTGGGGAACACCACTCCATTCCAACCGCGCTTTGACGCGAGGGGCTGAGCTGTGAGTGCTTTAAGGGACACGTACTGCTAGTTACGCACGGTAGGCTCAGTGCCTTATTGTGTCTATTTACAGCTTTGGGAAAAAATGCAGAGAATAGTTTGTTTGCCAAAAAGGACACTTTGGGGTGACTCGGACTATTTTGAGCAGGTTGCATTCACTAGATGACTTCAGTTGCATCAGAAGCAAGTATTTAAGCACCGTTGAAACTGTCCAGCATTTCCTAAATGAACTCTTTCAGTAGTCTGTATTGCAATACAACTGAAAGTAAGGGTGGGGGAAGATCTGGATAGGGAAAATAGCAGAAGGTGGAGCTAATTTCACAGTGTGTTCATATTTGTTTGCTTATTGGTTCGGATTGGAAGCTTTGGAACACCTAGGTTTGAATCTCTCTTGCCTTTGGGAATGTGAATCAATGTTATCAATTCCCAGGATGATGTCCTAAATAATGCAATGCAAACTGTGTTCCCAGTCTCTCTCCTTGTCGGCATTCTGCTTTTGTAAGATTCCTCAGGCTGAGCCTGAGAGAAGCCCTGTTCTGAACGGAGCTTTGAGGAATGGGGCATCTGTGTTATTCTTTGGAAGAAGAATGGATCTAAAACAAAGAGTCACAGTAAAGGATAAATGGTCATTTTAAGCCTCAATTAATATTTAGGTACACATGCAAAGTGGGACAGAGGTAATGGGACAGACTGATTGATGGAAACTTACTGAGTAGCTCATTGGGTAACTGAGTAGCAAGGTTTTGATTGTTTCCCACGTTTTGGGAGCATATTGTAATCTCTTAGTTACTGGCTATGAAGGGAAGTTTCCGTGGCTAAAAATGATGATGTCTTAGCTTCTGTCATCAGTGTCTGAAAGCAAAGCAGTCTATGGTACAGCCTGGATTTTTTTTCTCTTTTTTTTCCTCCTTTTCCCCCTCCTAAGTTTCCACTGTCCTGTGTTTATGTTCTCAGGTTTTTGGTTTTTGGTTTTTGCTTACTAGGCTCTTGGTCAAAAGGTCCGCCAGTTTTGGAATCATCCAATAAATGCTAATTTCATTGCACGGAAATATGTGAAACTTTTGCTTGAGAAGCTGGGGAACAGGCAGGTAAGAGCACATAGGCTGTTTTTTTTAACCTTTGGCTTTGACAGTGTTGAGATTCGTGACCTTTCTGTAGACCATAACACACTAAAGGTAACACTGAAACTTGGTACTGTGCAACTTTGTGAATTAACCTGATATATTCTCCCTTACAGTGTAGCCGGCCTATCCCTGAGAGACTTTCAGTCCCTGTAGAGTTTTTGCCACTTAACTACCTGACTAATATGCTGGCAGAGATAGAAAATCAAGGTAATGTTAATTCTGTACTTTGGAAGACCAGTAATTGTTACCCTTTGATGCTCACGCTCAGCCATATCCTGACTATATTGACATAACTGAGTTCTAAAACTCCAGTGATGTCTGAACATGTAGGTTTGGTCATCTTTCTGCTGATGGGAATTGTCGGGGGGCTTCTTCACTGCATATCCTTTCATCCAAATCCTTTGTATGTTGAATCCAGTTAGCAAACTTGCATTTTTCAGAACACATGTGGTAAAACGTGGTTCGTGTACGGCATGGTGGTAGCTGTTTTTCTGTGTTCAAATGGGAAGAAGGGCTTGTTCCTTATTTATACAGTATGGTGGCCAAGAGGCAACCAAAATCAGATCTTCCACTTCAGGAAAGAGTACCAAGATCACTAGGTTAGGAGCTGCTGTGAAGTAACAGGCATTTTTTTTATTTCAATGCTGTCCCTTTTTTTAAATTAAATTCAAATTGGTTAGGGTACTTGCTTCATACAGTGAACCTAAGCATCTGAAGATTCTGAATTCCACTGAAAAAGCAAGGTGTGTTAAGGGAAGCATTATACTTTTTAGCGTTACTGGCTATGCCTATACTAATAAACAAAATAAAGTCAGGATAAGGACCTGAAGGCTAAACCAGGATTGTCCGCGTATGGATATCATCCCATTTGGGGAGGAAAAAGAGTTAAACCATATAGAAGCATATGAGAATGGTCCATTTTACGTACTAGCGCAAACATAGCCACTGTGCTTAAATCTTTTTTTGGATCTCCAGTGTAGAATTAGTATGGAAATCCCTAGTGGCCTCCAGAGATGGTCTGTCGTTTACTTATATCCCACTAACAGGAAAGTTTCTGCCACAGATGAGCATCCAAATGACTCCACTGAAAGCTGTAGGTACTTCGTGTAAATGAAAACACGGGTCCATCTATTATCTTATCTCTCAGTATTGTAGATGAAGATGTTTAACAGACTGCAAGACTAAGTTACCAGAACACCGTTTGATTTTGTAAATACCAACTTTCTCACTTTTCTAGGTGTGCATCCATATGAAAAACAAGATCATGTTAATGTAAGATTTATAGAGGAAACTGCACTCAAACACACTATGATGCTTTTGGGCCTCAAATATTCCTGAAGTAACATGCTGTTGAAGAAAGCTAACTGTGGTACTCTTACGTAAAAGTATTCACACAGAAATGTGCAACCAACTTTTTTTTGTTTGTTTTAAACTTAAATGTCATGTTGTTTTCCAAATAATCTGCAGTTTTGTGTAGCCACCATTACTGACATAAGCTACTCAAAATATTCTTTGGTGCAAGGCTGAAATCACTGACTTCTAGATAAATCCTAGAGAAATTTGTCTGACACAAACCCAGGTTCCCAATGAAAAATATCTGTGGTTTCATTGTTTCATGCTGAAGTGGTCAAATAAGTAGAACGACAGCAGGTATCAAAACACGCTGTGAAAATTGGTATTAATGTCAATTATTTTAACAAGATACACAATCCTGAAAAAGGTAGTCCAGTTGTATTGTACAATAACAAGAAACCCGTAACTGTTTACTCATTTAGATTAATAGAAGGATTTCTTGGTGTGTTTATGTAAAGCAGGTAAGAATAATAAATGGTGAATCAGTCTGTATATAATGCATCAGTCATGATGTATTCATTCCTTGTGGTGGTCATGTGTTATCTTACAGTACTTCTGCCTTTGGAGCTGCATTCTAATATATTCAGTTTTGTAATTGGCGCAAAATGTAATCTTCTTAAAGTGCATGCAACAGGGTTTGGTTTTGTTTTTTTAAGATATGTATAATATATTGTAAGCAATACAGGATAAGAAAAAAGTTCTTTAGAAATTTACCTTAACGGTGACTTGGACAGAGTTTTACTTAATTCTTTCCTTACAACTTTTAGTGTTACAGTTCAAACCTCAGCTTCAGAAAGAAATCATGGAGGTTGTTTTTCCTTCATTTTCAACTTTTATTTATGTATAACTGAACCAGTGTTGTTTGGGTTTTTTTTTTAAGTTCTGAACTGTGACATTAATTTAAAATAGTAAAAGTGGTTTGCTATGCAGAGAAAATCTTAAGTTCTGACATGTAGGATTTCTGCAGTCTTTATTGGATTTAAAAACAACTCTGTCAAAGTTTCAGACTATTAAACTAGTGAAACTCACTGACAATTTGACAGATTTTGGAGGTTTTCAATAGCAACCTCTGGTATTCTCTCTGAGCTGTTTCCACTGATGCTCCCTGTTCCTAACCAGTGAAATAAAAAGGTCCAGTTCTCAGGGGTGACTCGGCAAGTTCATGGTCATTCCCTTGTCATTGCCATCAGTGGAGCAAGAGTTTTAGCTTTCTCAGTAACTGCATAGAGGGAAGGAATATTTTTCTCAATATAATTAAAATTTGTCCAGCAAGCATAAACTCCAATCCCAGACTGCAGAAAGCTATGTTGGTGTATTTGTGTAAGTGGTGGGGACTTTGTTCATATTGTATTAATAACAAGAGAAGATTTTCTATCCTTTTCTTTTTAATGAAATGCATTATAAAATATAATCAGATGCAATAAAACTTCACCTGGAAAAAAAAATAAGCGCAGTATGATGATCACTCATTTTCAAATACTGCACTGCATTTGGGATACCATGCTGCTCCTAGCCAGGAGAAGGGAACTTGTATCATTGACTGTTTAGCTATGGTTCTGGTGTTGACAACTACTTTGTTTTCATCTTGGAATTTGGCTAAACACTAATGGACGTTCCTTCAGTGTAGAGTAAATGCTATTGACCCTTGAGATTCAGCAACTGGTAGTGGCCTCTCCTGCTTTAGGTGCTGCCTGTTCATATTTCAATTGGCTTTACAATAGGTTTTCTGAAATGTCTCATATTTGAACCAGGCTCACTTGGTTTGAAAGGAGCCAGAGCGCCGTAGGGCTGCGGCAATGGGAGACTGTATTCATCGTCTGGGATATAGGCGGTTGGGCGTTGTTCAGCTGTCGTGTGGACACAGCTGGGTGCTGCGGCTTGTTCCTCTTCTGCAGCATGCTGTGAAAGAAACACATTTTGATCACAGAGTGATTATATCCTTTAAAACTCCAGTAGTCTCCTCAGCCAGCATACAGAATGCCTAACAAAAGAAACACCATTAGTCTAATCCTTAGCAGATTAGGAAACCCAGAGGGTATTAAGTGTTCATTGGAAGGAAAGCATGAGTTATTGACCACGTAGATGTGAGTTTGTCCTTTTAAGTAGTAAACGGTTTGAGCCTGTAATGCTTTTGTTATTTGTGAAGAAAACAGATTAGATGAACTTATAAAAGTTGTAATAAGTATGCACAGAACATCTCAGGAACGGGATAATTGTTCTGAGGCTTCAAAACGTGGCTGTATTTACGCTGACAGCAGCTGTTCCTGAATACAGTTACTGCAGTGAGCTTGTGTCCACAGCACTGAAAGGAAACTGAGTCATAGCATGAGCAGAAGTGTTAATGACAGAGAAGTTTCTTATTCTAAACCAGTTTTACTGCAGCATTTCTGTGTGACTTCAAGTTCTTTCAGTGTATGCAGTGTATTCCTCTCCCAGCTTTGTGCGCCTTTCAGATTCCCTTGGAGTGATCAGCTAAAGCATTCATGTAGCAAAGCTAATTCCCCATCAGCAAGAGTTCCCTCAGTATACACACCTCATTTTTATACTGCTTTTTCTTCTCTGTGAGCTCTCTGCTCAGGGATCACTGACGGTCTCAAGGAGGCAGGGTACCCAGCAGGGTAGAATTTGAAGCACTATTTGAAATGCAGCCCTGCCTACCCTCACTGTCTTGCCCAGCAATCTGATTTCTTGCTGCTTCTGGTCTAATGTTCACTGCATCTGGTATGTGGAAGACGCTAAACTTATTTTTCCTGAACCCCACACCCCACCTTTTGCAGCTTTACCTTGAAATCAAATGGAAAGCAATACGTCACTGATGGCTATCTCACCATCATCCCAAAACATGGTCACACAAGTTAATAACTGAAGGTAAGTCTTCCTTTTAGTGTAACGTGTTCTCTTCTTAAGATTCAGTGACCAGTTCTAAGCGGTGTACCAGACTGCAGTTACAGCTCCACAAGCCTGCAGTGTACCACTTCACTAGTTGTCTTCACACCATCATCTCCACTGACTCCTGGAGCTCCATGTTTGGCAGCGAACAGCTATGCAGTGAGCTAGCACAGCTCTTTCAGAAAGACAAGCTAGAGCAGTGAAAAGATGGGGCTGAAGATCTAATTGCAACGTATGGCAAAAACTTACTTTAGCTCTGGCTTCAGCTGCTTCTTTTTGCATCTTCTCGTTGCGTAATATCTTCAACCATTCATTTTCTGTTTCTTTGGGAGGGGGAAGGCCTTGATCTATCCTTGATGAAACAGTCATCAAAAATTGTTCTTTGTGTCTCATTTCCTGCTGGAGTTTAATGGCAAGTGCTTGCTTCATGGATAGCTCTGCAACAAGAGCCATCACCTTCTGGGTTCTGTCCTTTATCTTCTTCTGCAGTTCGTTTGTCTGGAATAAGTAATTGCATTTTAGTTGGAGCTTCCCTTTAGACACTTACTGGCCATGACACGTAGCTAAGTGGTAAGTGTGAAAACAAGTCTAGCTTGATTCGGTTTTAAAAAATAGTTCCATACTTGAAAATGACTTAAGGAAACAGGACGTGTGTTTCTATGTACACTCAGAAACACAGAAACTTGCATAAAAAGTCACATTTATTCTAATACAAGGTACAGAAAAGCAAGTCTGTATTTATCTCCTGCCCTTTTCAGCTGAATAGCAAAACTCCCACTGCCCTCAAAGGCAGGCATTAAACCCAGATTCCTATTGATCTTGTGCACAATTAACTTTGTAATAAAGGTGTAATAAGCCCAATCCTTACAAGATAATTGACAATGCAGACACAGCAGGGCTACGGTTTGTGAAGTTATCCTTGGCAGGGGAATGAACAGAAAAGGAACGGGACAGGAATCCTTGAGTCTGACTGGGGATGATTTAAACAAAAAAACCCAGCAAAACTCAAATATTCTTTTTTAAGTGACTAAGAGGGAATTGGGAGAGTCAGAGCACTCGAATATAACTTTTGGCACTCTGCCATTTTTACAGTAGTTTATTAGCCCATGGCTATGATTTCACAAACCCAAATAACAGCCGTGTTATTTCTCTGTTTGTGGAAAATTTAAAGATTTACCATAAAGATGTGTTTTGTTTTAAGCCTTTGAGTGCCAAACCTAACACCTAAAAAAAAAAAAAAAAATAAAAAAAAAATTAATCCTGGCCTTGTTTTACATTAATTACTTTTAATTACTTTGCATTTGTTTTTTTTACTGTCTTTCACTCAGCTCTGCTCTATTTGGAGCTTTCTGATTAAGGAGGTGGGGGTGAGAGGATTTTTGCTCTTCCCCAAACAATATTACCGGCAGTTAACAGGAAATAGCTATAATTATATAAAAGTAACTGTATTGAAAATGGTATTTCTTTCCTGTGTGGTTCTCCCTACCTAAATAACAAAGAAACTTTGAGCCAGATATCGAGTTTATCTTTTTCTATGTTGGAGGGATATAGAACTTACCTGGCTTTTCCGTATTTCTTTTTATCCATAATGTGTTTGTGGTGGAAGGGCTGTTCAGTACACACACAAAAGGAGGATTCTCCCAAGTTTCTAAGCACTCAACCTGAGAAATAACTAATCCCGTATTTCGGTGAAAGGTGCTATTTATGATGCAACTTTCTTTCAAAAAGAAAGTACACTCACCTAATGCTCTTGCTATGTCTATATTACTGTTATTACTAAATGCCTATAATTTCTGAAGACTAACATATGACTTGCCTATCAATATTTCCAGCCACTAGTTTTGTAATTTGCAAGTGAGTCATCTTACCTCTTGCCCAGTTATTATTTCATTTTGTATAGGCCGGCAAGCAGAGCGTGCGATGCCCTTCTTACCCTTTTAGCTAACAGCAGTGTGTCCTGCTTCCCGTTCTCTGCTGTGGCACGGATTCTGGCTGTCAGCTGGGAAACGTGCTCGTAGAGAAAATCTGTTTCCAGCAACTTCTCCTCTTTCTGCACCAGCTCTACCTCTAGCTGCAGCAAGGAGCACACAGGGTGT